ACCTTTCTCTAATTCTTTGTTCTTGCTTAGCCTCGACACCTGCGTACTCTGATCATTTAGAATCCGTTTGATAATCTTTTAATTTTTAATTTTTATAGTTAATTATAATAATATAATCGTGTAAGGGTTTCGTTGTTTTGGTTATATAATCGTGGAAGGCTAAACAACCGCGTGAGGACTATACTTCTTGTGTTTGTCGAGTAGTACTGAAAGTGAGGAGGAGTTCAAGTATGGATTTTTAGAGACGGAGTTCTTGGCTGCTCATCCATAGGTTATTTATTAATTGGTTGATAAAAATGTAAGTCTATTTTCTTGTACAAAATAAAATTGAATTTGACGGTACCAAATCAATTAATAAGGGTTTGGAAGGTACCCACCCAACTCCAAAATAATTTATAAAACGGGAGAAAAAGTGGACTTTTGGGCAAGTGGAGACGGGAAGCAAGTTGGGACTAGGGTTAAGCGATATAATCCATAAACAAAAAGAATAACAGTGGTTCCATTGCATGAAAGTAAACGGCCTGCGTTTCATCGTCACTTCATCTGATGGTTGACCCGTAAATCTCATAAGGTTAAATTTATATACATATATTTATACCAAACACCATACAAATTTATATATTTATATTCGTTTTCTATATTGCTCAAATGATCACCACCATGTGATGGGACATTTATTGTCATAAAAATTAGAAAATAATTCATATCAAACACCAACCTTGTGATGTAAACCAGCTCATGTGCTTAAAGGCAACACGTTGTAGATTGAAGTATCAAGCAAGCTATTCACACACACGAGTTTTAATATAAGATTATTGATCTGTAAATTAAGGCTTTTATTTTACTTAACTAGATCCCATATTATATATACCTAATAAAAATCATAGGCGAACGAATTGGTCACATCCTCGTAAAGTTATTTTGTAGAGTGTTTCCAACTTGCATGATGTTGATATATATATATATATATATATATTATACTTTAATATCTACACTTCTGGATGTAAATGTTGATATATAACATAGTGGTTAATTAGTTATAATCTGCATGCCGAAAGCTTCAAATTAATTATAGTTTCTTTTAACCCAGCTGTACGAAGCCTCCCCTCTTCTTCCTTTTTTGGTCAAATAGATTACAAGAGAACAAATGTATAGAATGGAGTTGCTATCAACGATGAAGGCAAACGACAATTAGAAAAAAAAATAATTCTATGAGTGCTGGAGGTTAGAAGGCAATTGTGACTAGGTAAATGCCTTGGTGGCGGAGACAATTATATTTGGTACAGGCAGGTCATGACTTAATCAAACACTTGCCAATTGGCATCGTCACCTTGTTTCGAGATATCAAGGATCATCCTTGCTTTTCTCCATTAATTCCGTTTATTATTTTATTATTTATTTGTTTATTTATTTAGACTTGAATAATAAATCATCACGGCATCCCATTTAAACCATTTTCTTCTTGTCCAAGTAAAGGGAAACTGCGTTCCACCCAAAAAAAAACAAGGCGCAAGACAGAGTCTCAGAACCCCCCCTTACCCCCAAAAAAGTAAATAAAAAAGAAAGATGTTTGCAGCCCAATATCTCTAGCCCAATATATTAGAATATGGGCCCTATATCTCTTATCTCAAACCGTAACCCACAATTTGAAAGTCCAATTGTGACAAGTCGTGCTTCGAGTCCAATTAGGAGAAAACGTTGCTTTAAACAACGGCTTCACCAACATACGTGGATTAGGTCAGTTGGCGAGGGCAGTGTGCCCGCCGTTTATATCCATTTCAAATCTCCATTACCATAAATTAGATTAATTATATTTTTAAATAATAGAAAAAAACAACAACGGTTTCAACACAAGTGTTCTAACGGCTCCTCCGCTTCTGTTGATTGTACTTCCAAAATTCAAAGCACAAAATGACTGAGGTACAACAACATAAAGCAGCACCTGATATGAAACTGCAAGGATAGCGCCCAATTTCAAACTCGAAGCTTCTACTCTGACCGCCAAATATTCCAACACGTCTCTGCGTCTGCCATATTGAAATGAAAAAATTTAATATAAAAACCAGATTATTTCTTGACCAGTTGATCGACCTCTGTCTTTAATTCTCTCTTTTGTGTTTTTAATTTCTTAATTTGAGCATAAGAAAAATGCCAAGCCTCAGCTTGAAGCTGCACAGCTTGTTCTTCAAGTACCATCTGAGACACCAATTGCAGAGCCTAAAGCAAATCCAACCCGACCCAAATTTCGGGATCACTTCCCGACCCGAAGAGCCCGCCGTTCCAGCCAACCCGACTTTCCAAGACGGCGTCGCCACCAAAGACATCCACGTCGACCCCCTCTCCTCTCTCTCCCTCCGCATCTTCTTACCCGACACTGTCCTCCCAGTCCCCCTCAAAACCGCAAAGCCTCCGAAACGTGGTGCCGCCCAATCGCCTCTCTCCTCTGACGACTCTGATGGGGCCGTGTACAGGGGATACTCTCCCGATCAGCCGATGGGGAAGCGCCACCGGAAGCTTCCGATGTTTTTGCAGTTCCACGGAGGTGGGTTTGTGAGCGGGAGCAACGACACGTCGTCGAACGACGCGTTCTGCAGGAGGATGGCGAAGCTGTGCGACGTGATCGTGGTGGCGGTCGGGTACAGGCTGGCGCCGGAGAGCCCGTACCCGGCGGCGTTTGAGGACGGGGTTTTGGTGTTGAAGTGGGTAGCGAAGCAGGCCAACTTGGCTACGCTTCGAAACGCTCGCAGCCGTATCTTCGATAGCTTTGGGTCGTCGATGGTTGAGCCATGGCTGGCTGCTCATGGAGACCCATCTAGGTACTTGTTGCCTATTGCCATATTTGAAATTGATCAATTCAATGCTCATGGTTTTCCTGTTCTCTCTTAACATATCTAAAGTTCGAAACTTTTTAAGTTTGTGTTTACTTGTTTGTTTGAATTGGAATAATTAGTGGGCATTGACATGGAATTTGTTATCAGAACAGGTGTGTACTCCTTGGGGTGAGCTGTGGAGCTAACCTAGCTGACTACGTAGCTCGAAAAGCGGTGGAGGCGGGGAACCTCTTAGACCCTTTGAAAGTGGTGGCACAAGTCCTCATGTACCCTTTCTTCATTGGAAGCATTCCCACCAAGTCTGAGATTAAGTTGGCAAATTCCTACTTATATGACAAGGATACATGTATGCTGGCTTGGAAGCTATTTCTAACAGAGGAAGAGTTTGATTTAGACCATCCTGCAGGCAACCCCCTCTTGCCTGGGACAGGGCCACCCTTGAAGAGCATGCCTCCGACGCTAACAGTTGTCGCGGAGCATGATTGGATGCGCGACCGGGGCATTGCTTACTCAGAGGAGTTAAGGAAGGCTAATGTGGATGCACCTCTTCTTGATTACAAAGATACTGTGCATGAGTTTGCTACTCTTGACGTGCTCCTCCATACACCCCAGGCCAAGGCTTGTGCAGATGATATTACTATATGGGTGAAAAAGTATATCTCAATCAGAGGCCATGAGTTTTTCCTATTGATTAATATGATTAGTTCAATGGAGAAGTAAACAATTATGAAGCTCGAGGATTGAAGCACATTTTAACAGCTTCAGGGGAACAAGAAAAGAAGCATTTTGGTGTACAGCATCAGCTTCAAATTCATTCTTTTTTTTTGTTCATTTAATGGCTAGTCAAGAGACAATTAAAGATCAATTATGTTCCCTGATAAGTGATGTTCATTTTTTTTTTTGGGCACAATATGTGATGTTCATTCAATTGTGCATTATATGTAAACCTTCGATCACATTTTTGTATAGTCATCCTGCAAATATATTTTGTTTTGCTCTTTGGATTTATGGAAAAGCATTATCTATTTAGTTCCAACATTGTATGATATAGGGAAAAAACTAGCAAAGGTGCCCGCACGATGCCATGGGTATTTGTTAGGACCAATTTTTGGTAAATTGGCAATTTCCTGTTACAAAAACATAGAGTAGGTCTTTGAGTGTAACCTACAGTTTTCAAGTGACATTCTGCTATCCTGGATCAGTGTGGCTCAGAGACAATGCCAAGGTATGTTTTGCATCCATGCATTCATATTTTCATATTTGTTTGATCATCAAAAGTGGCTGTAAGATGTACATGACTGATATATGATTTCAGTCTTATATAATCCAGTGCCAGACATCAATGAGTTTTTAACAATGGTTTTATATTCTTTAGCAAAGGGCTCTTTTGTCTTTACGGCTGGGTTTTTAATTAAGTGGCTTTATTTGTTTTAAAGAAATAATTTATTTGTTAAAAAGCCCATTTTTGCTAAAAGCCTTTTTTGGTCTCTGACCTAGTTTTAAGCGTGTAATAAAAGAAAGGAACTTAGCCTTTTTGTTGGTGTGTCTGCAACATTGAAAAAGAAGAAGAACGACAAAATATTTGCAGAGAGGTTTTTGAGAGTTCATATTGAAAACTCATGTGGCTGTTCCTTGTTAGCCTCCATGAGTGATTAAATAATCATCTTTTCATATATGTGTGAGTTCATGAGCATTATGCATGTTGGTGATCAACAATCGTGCCTTGAGGTGTGAGCAGCCGAGACTAGAGTTGTGCCATCTCTTGTTGACGAAGGAAGACAAGATCGCTGGTTGGGTTGAGTAGCAAAGGCGAGTAGGCAAGTCTGCCTTGTGAGCGTTAGTCTTGTGAGTTGAGACTTGTAAGACCTTTTTGTATTCTTTCTCATAGTGATTTGTTCTCCGGCATAGTGCCCGCAGTTGTTTTCCTCATCTTGAGGTTTTTTACTGCGTCAACATATCGTGTGTCCCTTGTGCAATTGTTTGCGTTTTTATTTGAATTTATTCTGCTGCGTATTCTGGAATTTTTGTTTACAGGATTGTTACAGTATTTCAATCCTGTCGTGGTGTTTGAGTATTAAGAAACAGATCAGTTGGCCATTCTAGGGAATTTCAATTGGCATCAGAGCTGGTCACTAGACGTGCTTAGTGAGATCGTTGGGCTGTGCTAGAATGGATCGTGCATGTGGGTCTGTGACTCATCCTCCGTTTCTTGATGAGAATACTAACTATGGGGCTTGGAAAGCTAAGATGAAATCTTTTCTGTGGGCTCAAGGTACAAAGGTGTGGACAACTATTGAGAATGGTTGGGAACCTCCAACAAAGGAAATTAAAGGGCGTGGAAAAGAGGTTGAAGGTGAAGGCCAGTCGACAACAAAGGTTGTAATTAAGCAAAATACAGAGTGGACTGATGAAGAAAACATATGAGTGCCTACAATCAAAAAGGTCTTAACTCCATCTTCACTGCGGTATCAGCTGAAAAATTTGAGTTTATATGTCATTGCAAAACCTCAAAGGAGGCTTGGGATATTCTGGAAATTACTCATGAAGGAAATGCCACTGTCAGAGAATCCAAACTTCAACAACTGATGACTAAGTTTGAAAATATGAAGATGCTGGAAACTGAAAAATTTGCTGAATTTTACGCTAGATTGAGTGTGGTGGTGAATGCTTGCAGCAACCTTGGTGATGCAATTCCTGAACACAGAATAGTGAAAAAGATTTTGAGATCTCTGCCTATGATGTATCACGCCAAGAAGACAGCGATTGAAGAGTGTAAGAATTTGAACACTTATAAACTTACTGAGTTAATTGGTTCTCTTACCACTTATGAGATGGAATTTCCAGAAATAAAGAAAAGTAAGGGCATTGCTCTAAATACAGTGAAAGAAGATGGGAGTGACAGTGTGTCAGAAGACAAAATGGATTATGCTTTGCTTACAAAACAATTTCGTAAGTTTTTGAAATCTAAGAATTCAAGGTCTGGTGAACAAAGAGGAAATTCAGGTTCAAGTACAAGAGGGAGTCGCCCTCGTGAGTTTACTTCTGACAAGTTATCACATACAACCAGAACTATGGAGAGAAAGGGCTCTAAAGATTCACTGAAGTGCTTTGAATGTGGTGGATATGGACACTTTGCCTCTGAATGCGCAAATAATTTGAGGAAGCAAAATAGTGGGAAAAATAAAGTAATGGCAACAACTTGGAGTGATAGTGAGTCTGATAATGATTCAAATTCAGAAAATGAAGATCAAGTTGTTGCTTTCTCTGGGAGAATTCATGCGCAAAAGGATGAGAACTCTGATGTTGAAGAACCTGAGATAGAAGTGGTGATGAAGCAATTCAATAGTCTCTATGATTCCTCTGAAAAACTGAAGAAGAAAAATGCAGAGCTTGCTGATCAAGTGGCTTTTCTACAAGACGAACTAACCAGGACTGAAGCTGCCTTTCAATCCCAGCTGAAAACAGAAGAAAATCTGCGTGGGTCTTTGCTTGAAAAAATTCAGATGCTCCAAGACAAGTACCAGCTGCAGAAAGATATGAATGTTTCTCTTACTTTCGAAAGGGACCATGTTAGTGCTGAATTAAAATTAGCAACGGAAAAAATATTTGGTATGACCATTGGTGCAGAGAAGATTGACAGGATGTTAAGTCTGGGGAAAAAGGGCTGGTGATACGAGAGGTTTGGGTTTTGAAAGTGAAAAGTCTAAGCAAGAGGTCAAAGCTGTGAAATTCATCAAAGAATTCTCTTCTACTGAAGCGAAGGTTAGCCCAAAGAAATTTATACCAATCTGTCATTTTTGTGGAGTTTTTGGTCATATACGGCCTAGATGCAATGTGCTTAGAAAGGAGAAGAGGTCAGCTTACTACTATTCTCCAAGAAATTTTAATCCATCTCAAAGAACCAAACTAGTGTGGAAAAAAAAGGAGGAAAAGTGCTTGGTGACTTTAATGGCCTTATTTGCTAGAAAATCTGATACATGGTATTTCGATAGTGGTTGTTCAAGACATATGTCTGGTGATAAATGTTGGTTTCCAAATCTGAATACAGAGTGTGTGGAAGGCTTTGTGACATTTGGAGATGGAAGTAAAGGTAAAATTTTAGGGAAAGGAGATGTTGAGACACTTGGCTTACCATTCTTGAAAAATGTCATGTTGGTGGAAAATTTACAGGCAAATTTGATAAGCATCAGTCAACTTTGTGATGATGGTAGCAGCGTGTGGTTTGATAAAGATCAATGTTATGTTGCTGATTTTCAAGGGAAGAAGGTTATGAGTGGCATGAGATCCAAAGATAATTGCTATTGTATTCAGGTGAATGAGAACAAAAGTCTTGTGTGCAATCGCGCTACTGATGACGTGATGGAACTGTGGCATAGAAGACTTGGTCATATAAACTTTCGTGATCTCTTGAAGCTGTCCAAGAATGAGTGTGTCAGAGGTCTGCCAAAGCTGAGTGGTAAGTCTGCAGGAGTGTGTGGTGCGTGCCAATTAGGTAAGCAAGTCAAGAGTGCTCACAAAAGCATATCCTACATATCAACATCCCAACCATTAGATTTGCTGCATATGGATTTAGTTGGTCCCATTCAGACTGAGAGCATAGGTGGAAAGAAGTATATGTTGGTGTTGGTGGATGACTTTACTCGGTTTACTTGGGTTGATTTTCTTCGTGAAAAATCTGATGCATTTAAGAGTTTTCGTGGCCTATGCAACAAAATTCAGATCGAGAAAAATGCTTCACATGTTACTGTCATGAGACTTCGAACAGACCATGGAACAGAGTTTGAAAATATAAGCTTTGCTGAATATTGTGAAGAGAAAGGAATAAAGCACGAATTTTCAGCACCTATTACACCTCAACATAATGGGGTGGTTGAGAGGAAGAATCGCACCTTGCTTGAAATGGGACGTGTGATCTTGACAAGTGCTAAGATAGCGAAGAAATTTTGGGCAGAAGCTATTAGCACAGCATGTTATACAGCAAATCGTGTATATCTTAGACCGGGCACAACTTCAACTCCTTATGAGCTTTGGAAAGGGAGAAAACCTAACATAAAGCACATGAGGGTTTTTGGGAGCGTCTGCTATATTTATAGAGATAGAGAAAACCTAGCAAAGTTTGATACAAGAAGTGATGCTGGCATCTTTTTGGGTTATTCTCTCACTAGCAGGGCTTATAGGGTGTTTAACAAGAGGACATGTACGGTAATGGAATCAATTAATGTTGTTGTCAATGATACTGATATGTCATTTGGTTCTTGTGCAGATGATGATGAAGATATTATTCCAGCAGCTCATAGGCAAGAAGAAAAGGACAAGGTGGCTAACATTAATGATGAAGTGCATGCAGAAGAAGATATGTTTTCACCTCCTCTTAGACCTGGTGCTCGGCAAGTCCAAAAGGACCACACACCATCTGATATTATTGGAGATTTAAATGATCAAAGAAAGACAAGAAGCCAAGTCGTTGCGGAGGTTACACCGATGCCGATTGGGCTGGAAACGTTGATGATAGGAAGAGCACATCTGGAGGGTGCTTTTATGTAGGTAATAATCTTGTGTCTTGGCATAGCAAAAAGCAAGCTTGTGTTTCCTTGTCTACAGCCGAAGCGGAATACATTGCTGCTGGAAGTTGTTGCACACAACTACTATGGATGAAGCAAATGATGAGTGATTACGGCATTCATCAAGGTACTTCAACTCTTTTTTGTGATAATCTGAGTGCAATAAATATTTCCAAAAATCCGGTTCAACACTCACGAACAAAACACATAGATATTAGGCATCATTTTATTCGTGAATTGGTGGAAGAAAAGGTGGTAAGTCTTGAGTTTGTTTGCACAGAAAAACAATTGGCTGATTTGTTTACAAAACCATTAGACACTGTTCGTTTTGAAGCTCCCAGGAAGTCTCTTGGTATTTGTTCCATTGAATGAACTCCCTCTAATTTTTTTTTGCATTCACATTTCATTGTTGTATGCCCATGTCGAATAGGGTTCTTAGTTTCTGTTATTATTATTATTTTTTTTTCCTTCTGTTTTATTTTTTGTAGCCTTGTAGTATATCATTGCATTGCATTTTCAATCCCATTGTCATAAGCTTGTATTTCTTTGAACTAAGATTGGGTTTTCTAGTCTGAGTATGGGACTAACTGTGAGACACATGCTCTTAGTTGGCAAATATTTTTCTATGTTAGTCTCTGGCATTAATCTTTGCTTGGCATTTTCACAGCATTTCCTTGGTTCTTGCACACGCACACCCATATGAGTTATGAATGCCTTTGTTGCAAGATTTCACTTTAAACGACAATGATAGATATCTTTGGAGCTTGACTCAGGTTCTCCCAAAGTAGCCGGACCTCTTACCTAACCAGTGTCGAGGGTCGCGTCGAATACGGGATGGCTTGGTCCATATTTTCAAAAAAAAATCACAACTTTGAAGCCTTTTGACTCGAGTTGCTAAGCCCATGGAGTATCCTTGATATACTTAGTGCCCTAAAGTCCTCTGGCTTGGGAGCATCTGGCCTAAGACTTGTTACAAGTCACTAGAAAGCTTAATAAAGTTGTGGACCGTGCTCCATAAAGAAAAAATATATATACAGCACAATTGTGAATCTGTTGAATACCATTTGTATGCATTGTCATTCCTATCTCTCTATTGGTTCACTTTTCACACCAAGGACCCTTGTGAATTTTTGCTAACCTTGATTATATGGTGTTGCCTAACATGGAGAGATATTTCACAACACTTGATGCTGTGGGTTCTCATTGTTACTCTTCAATTTTGACTTGATATCTCCTTACAAGCTTTGCTTAGAAATCTCGTTTGTGACACTGGTTTGATAAAAAATAAAAAATAAAAAAAAATAAAAATTTCATCTTGTGTGCCTTCTTGCTCCTTCGTCATTACATGTATCTTTTCATACATTCATGGGAGATTTCATAATTTGGAACTTTTGCCTACATTGTTCTTCCTGGGAGTGGTTGTTTGATGTGCAAGTGGTTATTTCTTTGAGGGGGAGTTTGCCATTACCTATCCAAAAAAGGGGGAGTAAACATTCTGAGTTTTATTTTGACATATTGTCTTTTCAACCATACATGCTTTTCACTGGTTATTTTTTGGTTTAGTGGTGCAGAATTCAGGTTACCTTTTCTATTGCAAGTGGTTATGTTTGAGGAATTCTTTTCACTCACTTGTACTTGGTTTAGGGGGAGATTGTTAGGACCAATTTTTGTAACTAGAGTTTTTGTATAGGAAATGCCAAAGGGGGAGATTGTTAGGACCAATTTTTGGTATATTGGCAATTTCCTGTTACAAAAACATAGAGTAGGTCTTTGAGTGTAACCTACATTTTCAAGTGACATTCTGCTATCCTGGATCAGTGTGGCTCAGAGACAATGCCAAGGTATGTTTTGCATCCATGCATTCATATTTTCATATTTGCTTGATCATCAAAAGTGGCTGTAAGATGTACATGACTGATATATGATTTCAGTCTTATATAATCCAGTGCCAGACATCAATGAGTTTTTAACGATGGTTTTATATTCTTTAGCAAAAGGGCTCTTTTGTCTTTACGGCTGGTTTTTAATTAAGTGGCTTTATTTGTTTTAAAGAAATATTTATTTGTTAAAAAGCCCATTTTTGCTAAAAGCCTTTTTTGGTCTCTGACCTAGTTTTAAGCGTGTAATAAAAGAAAGGAACTTAGCCTTTTTGTTGGGTGTCTGCAACATTGAAAAAGAAGAAGAACGACAAAATATTTGCAGAGAGGTTTTTGAGAGTTCATATTGAAAACTCATGTGGCTGTTCCTTGTTAGCCTCCATGAGTGATTAAATAATCATCTTTTCATATATGTGTGAGTTCATGAGCATTATGCATGTTGGTGATCAACAATCGTGCCTTGAGGTGTGAGCAGCCGAGACTAGAGTTGTGCCATCTCTTGTTGACGAAGGAAGACAAGATCGCTGGTTGGGTTGAGTAGCAAAGGCGAGTAGGCAAGTCTGCCTTGTGAGCGTTAGTCTTGTGAGTTGAGACTTGTAAGACCTTTTTGTATTCTTTCTCATAGTGATTTGTTCTCCGGCATAGTGCCCGCAGTTGTTTTCCTCATCTTGAGGTTTTTTACTGCGTCAACATATCGTGTGTCCCTTGTGCAATTGTTTGCGTTTTTATTTGAATTTATTCTGCTGCGTATTCTGGAATTTTTGCTTACAGGATTGTTACAGTATTTCAATCCTGTCGTGGTGTTTGAGTATTAAGAAACAGATCAGTTGGCCATTCTAGGGAATTTCAGTATTAAAACTGTATAAAATATGTAAAAACTTGTAAAAACATATAGGAAACACGATATTATTTACATACATGTGAAAGTTTAAGTTACAAAAGAAAGATTAGTAACATGTTATGTATGCGAAGTAGTGTTTAAAAAAACTATTACAGCAATAGATAGATAAATAACATGTTTTATACACTAAAGATATACACAGATTGGTGATGGAACTTCTCTCTTCACTAGTTCTTGGTTTTTCATCTGTTTTGATGTCTTCAGGAAGAGTATTTTCTTTTGTTGGCTTGGCTGCATGGGGTTTTTTTTCTTCTTTCTTCTCATGTGCATGTGTTTTCACTTCTCTGTTACAAATTGGAAAAATGTTAGTTGTCAGTGTAGATAAGTGGCAAAGTTATAGTGAAAATAAGACAATAAAATATATGTGTGGTTTGTGCTATGGATCATAACAATGAAAATAAGTTGAGGAGTATTGCCTTAAAATTTAAAGGAAAAAGGGAAACAAAAGTTTATATTCTGCAGCTACAAAAAGAGTTTAAACCCTTAGTGTAATTTCTTTATATATTTATTAGCAACCACATTTCACTCATCTTTCTCACATTTCACCCATCTTTCCCAAAAAAAATCCAAGTTTCTTAATATGAACTGAAATTTGCTATTGCATACTCAGGTTTTAGAAATCATTCCAACCAAAGTTAAGATTAGGCTTTTAAGCTCTTATGCCACCCCCATTATCATTGATTCAGCATAATGATAATCTGATTGCAATTCTTCTGATTAATATTTCTATTCACCCATCTCCTAGCAAGGTTAAAGTAGTGACCTTTAAATGCGTGACCATAAGTATGTTTTGCAACAATAGTTCAAGAAGCCAGTTCCCCTTTACCAGTCAAGAGTTCAAAATCTAACAACAATAGGAACCCAATCACAGCTGCCTTCCCATTTCTGAAAACAGAACACACACACAGATATACAAAGTGAAATAACACACAAAGATGCATAATTTCACTCGTACAACCAAACCCAATTCCCTCCACCTCCATTTACACCCCTCAAATTCACTAAAAGCAGAAAATTTAACAACAAAGGAAATGAAGTGATGGAGAAGAGAGTGATATCGGAGAGGCCAAGCGAGAGAAGAGGATTGTGGGGAGAGAGACCAGTGAAGGACCCAAATTAAAAAAATAAAACTAAGAAAACAACAACAAAAGTGTGCATATGAAATCAGAACCTTGTAATGCAGAGGCTTTCTTTCACCTCTAGGAAAACTCCGTAAGCTGAACCCATGGATGGTACAATACCTCATTTCTAATGAATCAAAACGAAAAAGATAGAAAGTGTTCCATGATCAGTACCTGTAGCCCATTAAATCTAAAATTCTTACACTCCTGGTTCATTGGGCACAAATAACTGGAGTTTATTTAATTCCTACCACAATAATAAGTCTATAATCTAGAAAAAAAAAAAAGTTCTTTCTATATATTTATTATTATATCAAAAAATTTGTGCTTAGGAACAGTGGCCAGTTGGATTGGGTTTTAGTATATAATGTATATGTCCAACGGTATATCCTATACAGGTTGCTTTGTTCACTATGTGCATGCCTCTTGCTCTTCTGCATATATACCCTTTGATAAATTTAAACTAATCTTCCATAGCAGGTTCCGAACCGAATCAAGGGAGCCTAAAGACAAACAATTTAGGTGCATATACAACTTGTTTTGTCATGTATGTGTGTAGGATAAGCTTATCCTAGCTATATCCCAAGGCCATATGTATTATTTTAAACCACATCAGGACCTGGTAAAAGGAAGGTAATAGAATAAAATTTACAACCGCAAGTAGCATTGGAGAATTCTGTATCTGGGAAAATTACAGTCACATATGGATAAAGTACCAATGCTGTGGACATAGACAAGATATAAAGCTCCCAAATCCTAGGGATTCCTTGAAAGTGATGGCAATAATGGAAGCTCCCTGGTCAGTGATTGCTCTATGTATGCATTGCCCTATGCCTGCTGGAAGTAAGACAATTTTATTTCATAAGTCCTTACATTTTGCTAATTTGAAATACTTCACAACATAGTAATCGCCATCAACGCAACAAGGAAGCTTCAACATACACATCACAGACATATATAAATCCCCAGCGGATGAGATGGTCATTTAACTTAGTTGCAAAAGCTTCTCATACATTAGAAAGGTAGATAATGGCATCTGGTCTCTATGTTCAAGCTGAATTCTATGGGGACAATACATCTGATGAGGTGATTGGTCTTGGTCTCAATCTGTCATCCATGGCATGCCTTCCCTACCCTTCTTCTCTTTCCACTTTGGAGGAAAATCCTGCTGCCTGGGGGATCCCATTCATAGATGAAACAACAAGTCATAAGAGGCTAAAGCAGCAACATAGTGCCAGCTATGAATTCAATAATGCAGGTACTAACTATTATAGTCTTTACAGTGGCAGTGGCAGCATGTGTGCTAGGGGATTAGATAGTTTGCCAAGAATCCATTTCCGGGATCACATATCTGCGTACACTCGGAGATACTTGGCAGTAGAGGCCATGGAAGAAGCCACTGCAACCCTGATGAGAGGCAAGGAAGGCGAATCCGAGGAAGAAGGAAGGGAAGATGAGACGAAACTAGTCCAGCAACTCATTGCTTGTGCTGAGGCTGTGGCTTGTCGTGACAAAGCTCATGCTTCAACATTACTTTATGAGCTCAGAGCTAATGCAAAGGTCTTTGGGACATCATTTCAGCGAGTAGCATCCTGCTTTGTCCAAGGTCTCTCTGACCGCCTTGCGCTGGTTCAACCGCTTGGGGCAGTGGGAGTTATAGGCCCCATAACCAAGTCAACTGCTTTTTCGGCAGAAAAGGATGAGGCTTTGCACCTTGTTTATGAGATTTGCCCACAAATCCAATTCGGTCACTTCGTAGCAAATGCATCAATATTGGAAGCCTTTGAGGGAGAAAGCTCTGTTCATGTCATAGACTTGGGCATGACCCTAGGCCTCCCACATGGGTACCAATGGCGCAATTTAATAGACAGTCTAGCCAACCGTGCAGGTCAACCCTTACATCACCTTCGAATCACCGGTGTTGGCAACTCTGCCGAATGCCTTCAAGCAATTGGCAATGATCTCAAGCTGCATGCACAAAGCATGAAACTGAATTTTGAATTTTCAGCAGTGGAGAGCAGCTTCGAGAACCTAAAGCCTCAAGACTTCAATTTAGTTGATGGGGAGGTTTTGGTCATCAACAGCATACTTCAGTTGCATTGTCTGGTGAAAGAGAGCAGAGGTGCATTGAACTCAGTTTTACAAACACTTCATCAGCTATCACCAAAGCTTATGATTTTGGTTGAGCAGGACACAAGCCACAATGGGCCTTTCTTTCTAGGGAGGTTCATGGAGGCATTGCATAATTACTCTGCCATATTTGACTCCCTGGATGCAATGCTGCCCAAGTATGATACAAGGAGAGCTAAAATGGAGCAGTTTTATTTTGGGGAGGAGATTAAGAACATTGTGAGCTGTGAGGGACCAGCCAGGGTTGAGAGGCATGAAAGGGTTGAGCAATGGCGCCGGAGGATGAGACGTGCTGGGTTCCAGCCGGCACCTCTGAAGATGATAGCACAGGCCATGAAATGGCTAGAAATAAATACTTGTGAGGGTTACACGGTTGTAGAAGACAAGGGTTGCTTGGTTCTTGGGTGGAAGTCAAAGCCCATCATTGCAACTTCTTGCTGGAAATAATCTGCGATTTCATAAAACTTAGTCTGACAAAAGAGGAATAACGTTTTTGAAACTGATCATGTTGGTGAACTAAAAAGAACAAACTTGTGTAGTTTGTATCAAGCACTGCTAATCAATCTTAATCGGACAACATAATCTGTTAAACTATGTTTGATAATTTAGCATGATTCGTGTTCGAGTAAACAGTATCTAGTAGACTATATTCTTATATCTTAAGAATCAAAGTGCATAGAGAGCCTGAAAAACTCTAAAACTCCAATTCAAAAGCTCCCCTTGGCCCCAAAATTTCACAGCCGTATTGAGGAAACAATATCAAAAAGAACCACAAAGTAGCTTTTGGGGAAATTGGGACTCTCTCAGTCATTTGGTCGAACACCTTGCACACAAAATGACCGTCGTGGCAAAATCGACGGCCAACAATACATCGCCATCAGCAACTTCATTGTGGGCTGCCACGTGTATGGCTGGCAAGACACTCCGTGGACTCACCAAAAAAAAAGACACAAAAACAACTTGCCTGGCAAAAAAAAGACGTGTGGATAAGACAGCACACATCCTACGGTAAGCTTCCCAAAGGGCTCTCCTTTCTCGCTCACTCACAAAGCACACAGCGAAGAAACGAAGACTGAGCAAAATCGAAGCAAAAATGGAAGCGGGTATGTCTCTAAACGCAGTCGTTCGGCTTCCGCTCTCGAGTTCGAGGACCCATGAAGATGGTTTGGTCAGGCACTCAATGGTCTCCACGACGACGACGACGACCCAGAAGGCAGAGCAAAGGCAGGGCCGCAAACTGGTCGTTCAAGCAAAGAGCAAAAGGGGAATGATGGCTCGCCAATTTCAAGCCAAGAAGCCTCCACCTCCTGCCATGCCCAAGATTGAAGACGACGGCAACCCACGTTTCGTTGTATTCATGAGAATGGCTAATGTTTGTTCTCTCTCCCCCTGTTTTTGCTTTTAATTTCCAAAGTTAATAACTTTCTTTGAGATTTTTGTTTAGCTGGAGAAAATTACAAGTTTTACTTGTTGAATCTTGGACAGGTTTACCTATGGTACCCACTTAGTGTTATATCAGGCGGAACCACGGCTAAAATCATGGTTGCAGCAAAAGATAATTTTCTGGGGAAATATATATATAAAGATACCCTTGCTAGAAATCTTGCTGCAGTTATTTACAGGGTGAGTTTTTGTTTAATTAAGCTTAACTAGATTTCTACATACTTGTTCTTTTTTGTTAAATTTATGATTGATTGTATATAATTTGGTGTGCTTGCTCAATCTCATTATGAACAGCAGTTTGAACAATTACTCAACTGAACTGAGCAATCTGAAGTAGAGTTCATGTAACCAGAGTCAATTTGCCTTTTTTTTTCTTTTTTCTTTTTTAATGTGTATAACTTGCCGAAATCTTCTAATGGTTTGTGTTATAAAATTTCTGTATGGACATGTTAACTATATTGAGAATCCTTGTGGCAAATATACTCATTGTTGATTAATCATGGCTTAGAGGACATATTCTGCTTTTAGTAGCCAAATGCGATTTTTATGATGGTTAAACATTTTCCGCAACCGGCCTCATATTAGCAATTGCATAATTGCTTGTTTTTAATTTAAACAGGACGAGAAGGAAATACAGAAGACAGCATTCAAGCAGTACCGAGTGTTGCGGTCAGCTACTGATTTTAGATATGGCTACAAAATTGTGGTAATCCTCTTATAACCTCTACACTAAATAAAAGTTCATTCGTAGATGACTATTGTCCTTTTCTCACCATTAAAATGTATGGCAGAAGCTCAATTCTCTTATTTCAGTGTTTGAATCTTTTCTGTGCTATACGTGTAGGAAAATGGTAACATGAGAGCAGCACTTTCTACCTCGGATGTAATTGAGGTAATTATTTGTCTTTTTCATTATGCTTGCCTACACTGTTGTCTTTGTGGTGAGATTATAATGCATTAAACATTCAGCTGATCACAAGCTTCAGCCCTTGAGCTGCAACTCTTCAATTCGTTTATTCTAAATTAGAAGCTATTTATGCTGGTAGCTACAGAGTTACAGTTGAATTAAAATATTCAGTTCTGAACAGATTGGTCTAATATTGTGATGGTTCTGAACCCAATTTCAGCTTCCAACAAAAGACAAGCTCAAAACCACTTTTGACAAAGTGAAAGATTTTTTTGGGGATGCAAAGGAATCGTTCGGCAAGCTGACAACACTGAACTTATCCGAGTCTCAGGAATCAGAAGAAAAATCTGCAGAACAGGAAAAGTGAGTTATATGCACACAATACACTTGATAAGTTTTGTTTTCTCAACCGTAGTTGTCGAGGCATTCTTGTTGGCTTCTCATTTTTCTGTTGTCAGGCAACACTCAAACCTAAAACCTCCCTATGTAAATGATCGTCCATTACTTTACATGCCTAAAATGATTGTTGGTTCGTTTAACAGGGTAAAAGGCTAAAGGTGGCAGATAGGTTCTGTGAGATAGTGAAGCTTATTCAGCTGCGTGCACATTTCACGAAAGGTCACTTAGGATGATTGTACACACGGTTTTGTTTATAGATCTCTCTGTCAATTAAACATGATTTTATGTTTGCCAATTACATCTGATACTAATTTAGCCTGTTCCACACTTGTATTTCTGAAAATCTCTTGAAACTGCTGAATTAAGTGCACCATGGAGCAAACATGTCCTATTAAGACATTATAGATGTAAGGGTGGTTAAGTGGGAGGTGAAAACAAGACATAAATAAGTATGGTTTTAAAAGCAACTTGACAAACTCACTACTTGTAGGTTCTTTAAGATTATAATCAGCATCGTATATTATAACATGGAATACATTAGTGCCGGTTACCAACAAAATACATAGAATAGAAGTTAATACTAACGACACACTCTTATATTATATTTTCCTCTTACAAAACGATGATGACATATTGGAGGAAACCAGACGCAGAGAGAGATGATGTTCCATTAGAGGGAGCTGGAGACGGAAAGGAATCTTATTTTCTTGCTGTGTTTTAAAGGTGGTGTAGATCAATTCCCTTGAATGGTGATCCATGTTGGCTGGGTGTTGGAACAAGAACAAGAGCAGACTTCTTTCTTGTGGCAAGCCCAAAGATCTCGTCAAGGTCCACATCATCTGGTCCAACTCCATGAGGCAATGCCCAATCAAAATGATACAAGAGCCTTGCCAATGCAATCTCCACCGTTGCCAACCCAAAGCCATATCCTGGGCAGCCTCTTCTTCCTCCACCAAATGGTAGAAACCGAAAATCTTGATCAACAACGTTAACATTAACGTTGCCTGCATCTTGAAACCTCTCAGGCCTAAACTCCAAGGGATTGTCCCACGACTGTGGGTCTCTTGCTATGGCATAGGCGTTGATTAGAACCCTAGTTTTTTCGGGTATTTCGTAGCCATCCAGAGTGCACTTTTCCATTGATTCTCGAGGGACAAGAAGAGGGACTGGCGGATGCAATCGCATTGTCTCTTTTATGACTGCTTTCAAGTAGTCAAAGTGTTGAAGGTGGCTCTCGTCTACTTTTCCAGTGCCGGATGCAAACTTTCGAACTTGTTCTTGTGCTTTCTTCATCACATTTGGGTGTCTCACCAACTCTGTCATTGCCCATTCTAGGGTGGCTGATGTCGTATCGGTTCCGGCCACAAACATATCCTATTAATATTATATAGTAAATTGAGCTTAGACCCATAAAATTCATTTTAAATCACCTACAACCCTTCTCTTTATTTTTCTAATTAAAATACCCAATTTTTTCAAATAATACATGATGATTAGAATCCAACTAAGCAAGTTACCTAATATAACTTAAAATCTAATTTATTGTATTTTTTGGATTCCAAAACTATCCATATTTATAAGTTAATGTGTTATGAGGGATGTAACTAATGACACACGTTGAATTTGGAAAGATCTCCAAATAGTTGTAATGGATGTAGGAATTAATTTAGAAACTTATTTAAAATTAAATAATTAAATATTAAATTCAACATTAACATATTAGTAATCTATAGGTGATTAACGTTTTGGTTTATTTAATAAAAAAATTATGTTGTTTTCCTTTCATGAATTTTACAGACTAGTAATCTATTTTATTATAGTTTTATGAATAATAGTTTACATTCTAATTATGTTGAAAAATAATTTGATAATCTATTTATTGTTTTTTTAAATGAACCTATTTTTTCTCTAAATAATGTACCTATTTTTTTTTCCTCTAAATAAAGCACATATTACTTGTTTTATTAAAAATAATCTGATCATCTTTTTATTGTTTGTTTCATGAAAACAATTTTTTTTTAAAGGAATCTAATTTTTCCCTCCAAATAATGTACCTTTTTTTTTCTCTAATAATGTACCTAGTAAAACAATTTACCTAGTATAATGAACCTATTTTTTCACTAAATTTTGTATCTATTTTTTTCTCTAAATAATGTACCTATTACTTGTTTTATGAAAAATAACTTGATAATATATTTATTTTTGTTTGATGAATTTTTTTTTCTCTAAATAATGTACCTAATTTTTTCTCTAATAATGTATACCTAGTATAATGGGGTGATTGATATTGCCAAACCCAAAAGAAATGGGGTGATTGATATGCCATTAATAGGGAGTTTTAATTACAATTATGGCAGTTAATGAAATGCTTGGAATAAATTATAAATAAAATATGAAGTTTGATGGCAACGATGTAAAAACGTAAGAATATTATGACCTCTTATATCCTACTGGTCATTTAAGTTTGTAATTAGGTTTTAAACATAAATTTATAGAATGATAGGTATTTGTCTAGAAAATAGAAATTATAGGAACCTATATTGGACAAACCGTGATCAAGAAAACATGTCCACTGCTGATCTAAGCAATTGGCCCCATATTCATTTTAAGATCAAGATAGACACAACTAGTAGATCTAAGCAATTGACCCCCATATTCAATTTAAGATCAAGATAGAAACAACTAGTAGTGACATGACATCACCGACAAACAGAAATGCAACACAAAACGGTGTCGTTGGACCATAATATAGAGAGGGGATCGATGTTTACCAGTACAAGAGCCTTTAGATTGTCATCAGTAATTGGCACCTCCAAGTCATCTCTTTGTCGTACTCGAAGCAGAACATCCACAAAATCTTCTCTGCTACCACCACCGCTACCACACTCGCACGACGTCGTTTTGTTCAAATGCTCTTGTATTATTTCATCACACACTTGTCTCAAACCCTCCAAGTTCCTCTTCAGCCTCCTCCTAAACCCACTCACCCAGTTGACCCACTCCCACTCGGGGAAGAAATCCCCTACGCACCACCCAGCAAGCAAAGCCTGCGTCTCACTCAAAAGCTCCACCAAACGATCTTCTGACTTTGACTTTGACTCCTCCTCCTCCTCCGCTATAAACCTCTTCCCCAACGCTACTCTACACAGCACATTGTTTGCCAACGCAAACAATAACTTGCTCATGTCCACTTCAGACCCGGACAGGATGGCCACGTGGCTCAGCAACCGGTTCACCTCCTCGTCTCGGACGAGGTGGAACGAAGTGACCCGTTTGGAACTCAGCAACTCGGTGACACATATTTTTCTAGCTTGGCGCCAGTAGGGGCCGTACGGGGAGAAGGTGACGTCGGAGCAGCCGAAGGAGAGCCACTGAGCCGCCACGAGCTGCGGTCGGCTCGCGAATACGTGATCGTGGGTTTTGAGGACAAGCTTGGCCAGGTCAGCCGAGGAGATGACCAGCGTGGGGACTCGGCCGAGTTGGAGGTGGATGATGGGGCCCAGTTTCTGGGCCAGGTGGGCGAGGGATTGGTAAGGTGGCGCCTCTGTGAGGAGGAGGTGGTGAAGGTGGCCTATAATTGGAAGGCTTGTCGGTGACGGTGGAGTACGGACGGTGGCGGACAGTGGCTGTGACGGTGACGTTATACTTTTCCATTTCTGCAACTGCAAGCGAAGAAGGAAGAATACGAAGGGTATGAAAAGTAGAAGCGAGAGAATGAGAGAGTCCATTTTCTTCTTTTGCTTCCAGATGGAATCAATGATGTACCAAAGAGATTGGGGCTTTATGTAGAAAAATATTTTGGGCTGCCAAAGACAAAAACAAAAGAAAGTTTCATGAGCCCAATATCCCAAGCCCATTAGATTATAATATGGGCCCACAATTATAAGGTCCAATTGTGACAAGTCAAGGTATGTTTCTTGAATTTTCCTTATCCGGGGAAAATTTTCTCGATTTCTCCAGAACTGTCCGACCGAATGTGTCTTCACCCTTCTATTCGTCTTCCAGAAGTGTCCATTATCTCCTTCAAATAGTGGAAAATCCAGTCTCCCTACTCAATCAAATCAAGAACTCCCTCACTTTCTGTTTGCATTTTCTTGCCTGCCAAACACAACCCAACTACTCCAATAATTTTCCAACTGATCAAGGCTCACAACTTCACTTCACTTGACCAATAAACACAAACCCCAACTCTTGAGAGAGACACAAAAAAAATGTCTCAGGCCGTATCGAATTTGAGCATTTTTCTTCCAATGTCATCTGGGAGGAGGACCAAAAATTGCCCATCCCCTGTTTTCTCAAAACCAGTTAAGAACAGCCTCAAGGCCATGGCAAGAGATGCAAGGGACAACCTTGACCACTTGCAGAGGGCCACCACCAAGCACCAACAACAACAACCACCCCAGCCCAAAAAGAGAGTCGCCCCGGCACCACCTGTAGGTAAATTAATCACCCACTTATCCAAATTTGAAAATCCCACGTTAAAGTTAGAAACTTTAATTTGATATTGATAAATAAACAAAAACCATTGAATTTTTGCAGGGTTGTGGGACCGGTTTCCGACGGCAAGGACAGTGCAGCAGATGATGGAGACCATGGAGAGGATGATGGACGACCCGTTTGCCTACTCGGGCGGGTCGGGTTGGGCATCCCCATTGCCGACGGAGACAGGCGGCTACAGCAGGGGAAGGACCCCATGGGAGATCAAAGAAGGTGAGGCTGATTACAAGATGAGATTTGACATGCCTGGGATGACCAAAGAGGACGTCAAGGTGTGGGTTGAGGAGAAAATGCTGGTTGTGAAGGCAGAGAAGGTGACCAAGAAGAAGGAAAATGTGGTGCCAGAAGAAGAAGATAATGGCGATGATGAGTGGTCTGCTAAGAGCTATGGGAGGTACAGCAGTAGAATTGCTTTGCCTGAGAATATTCAGTTTGAGAAGATTAAGGCTGAGGTTAAAGATGGGGTCTTGTATATTACTATTCCTAAGGCTACCAGTAGTTCTAAGATTTTGGACATTCATGTAGGGTGATAGCTAGATTTACTGATGGAGAGCAGAGGATTTTGGCTTCTTTCTCCGTTTCTTTGTTCAATTTGAATTTTGGTTTCTGAGTATTAATGTCATTACCTATAGTGGGAATTAACTGACTATTAAGAAGACCTCAAAACAAATTTCATAAAATTTCCACCAAAAAAGAAGCCCCTAAACTTATTTAACTGATTACAATAATTGTACCTAAACAATTTCTTTCATTTTAATCGCATATAAATTATTTAGATGGGCATCTAGCCAAATGTAATTTTAAAAGTAAAATAAAAAACTTTGTAAGTTGGGCGATTAGATAGATATCTAAAAAATACAATTATAAAAATAAGTATTAACTTTATAAGTTGTGTTCATGAATCAATTTTATTCCTCTAATGCTACTATCACATTTGTATACTACATTTTCATACCATCTTATGTGGCAGATGAGGTGGATAACACATCAATTAAAATTAAGAGAAATTTGCATAAATATCATCTGAACTAATAAGGGTGTATGTATTTACCACCCAAAGAATAAAATTAGACTGATTACCGCCTGGACTTTAACTTTAGTGCAAATCTACCACCTCGGTTAGATTTAACAGAAAATCTCTGTTAAATGAAGTTATGTAAGGGCAATTCTGTCAATTACTATGCACTTAAAAAAATAAAAGAAATTAAAAACAAAAACAACCCCGCACTCAAGTCCCATGGTAGCCCGCCCCACTCACTGCTCAACAAACACCCTCTCTTCTCTCCCTCTTCTTCCCTTCTGTCAATTAATTTCAATAGAAATTAAAGAGGAGTAGAACATAAAAATAAAGATAAATTATTAAATTAATAAAATAATTTTGGGTCTGTGAAGTTATAGGTGGGTACAGCGGTTTGAGAAGGTGAGTGGTGGGGAGGAGGGGGAGGGGGAGGGGCTGGGTTAGGCAAGAGAGAGAGAGGTAAAAGTGTGTGATTGGGGAGGGGTTACTTGCTAAGCAGTGGGTGAGGAAGGAGGGAGGGAGGGGGGTCTGGGAGTTTTTTGAATACGGGAGAGGAGAGCGGGGCTGTTGTAGGTCGGGGAAGGGCTGCAATGGTAAGATGTTTTTTATTGTTTTTATTTACGAATTCTAGGGATAAAATTGGAATATTGACCCAAAATTTTAGGGCCCGTCTGGTAACGTTTTCGGAGAATGTTTTCTGAGAATATTTTCAGAGAATGAAAACAAGAAAACAAATTTGCATTTTTAGGAAATGAAAATGCGTCTGGTAGATAATTAGAAAACATCTTTAGAAAACAAAAATAATAAAAACGTGTCTGGTAGTACAATTGTTTTTCATGTGTACTTTTGCTAATTTCAGTTCTACTTTTTTAAAAATTTTGATATTTTTGGAGGCTAAAATTATTATAAACAATGAAAATATGTTTGGTAGTACAAATTGAGAATAATATTATGTGAATTATTTTTCAAGGATATTTTTGCTAATTTCTGTTTTGAAAAAATATTTTTTAAAATGTATAATTTAACAAATGAAAAATTCTATTGTTTTTTAAAAGATAAAACTATCTTTTTTCTTTTTTCTTTTCTCCTTTTTCTCCTTTTCTTTCTTTCTTTCTTTCTCTTTTCTTCCTCTTTCCTTCCCAGACCCGTTCCTTTTTGTTTCCTTCTTCCTCTTCTCTACTTTCTCTCTTCTTCTTCCTTCCTTCTTTTTCACTCTCACTCCTCCTTCCTTCCATTACACGAATCCCATCAACCCATCTCTCCGGTTCCACTAATTAATGGTTGTGATGGTTAGATTGGGTGGTGATGGTGGTTGAGCTGGGTATGTGGTGGCTGGTTTCTCTCATCTCTCCCTCTACAACTCTCTCTCTCTCTCTCTCTTTTTTCCCTTTCCCTTCTTCTCCCTCTTTCTGATTCTTTCTCTTCTTCTTCTTCCCCTTTTTTTTCTTTTCTTCTTCCTCTCTGTCTTTTTTTCTTAATTGCAGATTTGTGTGATTATGAGTTTTTTTTTCTAGAAATTTTGGGGCTGATTATGGTTGGAAGGAGGAGATTTGATTGTTTTGGATACAATTTGATTGGATTGTTTGCTCAAGTGACGGAGGAGAGTTGGCTTTGATTCGGAGAGACTGAAAACAAAAACGCCGAAAACAAAAACGACTTTCTGGCGTTTTCAACATTTACTCATACTTTCATTTTCATTCCCAGAAAACAATTTCAGCTTGTTTCTCAAAACAACCCACCGAACACGTTTTCACATGAAAACAGAAAACAAAAACAGAAAATGGCCCTTGAAAATGATACCGAACGGGCCCTTAGTGCCAGTTTGACATTGCTTATTTGGGGTGATAAGTGATTTTTTAAAAATTTTGAGAAGCCCAACCCGTTTGGTAAACTGTGAGAAAATCACTTATTGTTAAAAATTGCTGTGAGAGAAAGCTATGAGGGAAAGCAACTAATGAGGTGCTTTCATTTTCTGATTATGTAGGAATCAGTTTCGAAGAGGCGCTGGGTTTAATGATTATGCGGCAATCATTTTTTGATTATGCGTAAAATCAATACCAACAACACTTTTAATAAAAATTTACCAAACGCCAAACTGCTTTCTCTCACAGCTGATTTCTCCCACAGCAAATCTGACAACGATTATTTTCACAGCATAGCAATGCCAAAACTGAAGTTTGGGTGGTAAATAGTTAAATTTTATTATTTGGGTGGTAAATACGCACACCCCTAATAGTTTAGGTGGTGGTTATGCAAATTTCCCTAAAATTAATTTAAAGTTTTCTTATCTTTTATGATTTATTGACACTTTTTAATTGATGTGATTGTCCACTTCATCTGCCACATAAGGTGGTATGCAAATGTGGTAAGTGTAGCATTACTCCTCTTTTTTATATCCCTCTAAACAAAATTTATCAAATAAAATTATTCATATTTCTCGCATCCCTCTAAATTATGGTACATATTTTTCGGATGTTGTTACTTTTGGTCTTCAAAATAGTGTTTTTTTTTTTTTTTTTTTTTTTTTCCTTTTACAAAGTTTTTTTTTTATATTAATTATTTTTGCAATTGTATTTCTTTAGATGTCTGTTTTAATAGTTTTATATTTTAATTGTACGTGTTTGATTAATGAGTTTCTTTATAAAAAAATTCTTTATTGCCCATATTTTTTTAGATGTTTGTCTCAACGGTTTACACGACGACAAAAGAAAAATACTAAATATAGATATAGACAGAAAAAAATACAATATGAATTAAAAAAAAAAAAAAAAAAAAAAAAGTTGTCGCATGATTAAAAGTTAGTAAGCCGCACGTGAAAAAGTAAAGAAAAAAATTGGTAAGTCTCACGCTATTAAAAAAGGGCTCTTACATTGCGCGTATGCGCATACAAAGAGACTAATTTAGTTAAAATTACTGAAGTATATACTTGACGCGTTGTTTCAATCTTCGTACTCTTTACAAAGTTTTCTTTTTTCTTTGACACATGTTTAAAAACTTTTTCTTTTATTCCATGTATTAAATGTTGGTATTGTGCTTTTGCTTTTGTTTTAGGTTAATAGACAATGAATTTTGCCATTATTTATTCTCTATTATGTTTTAATTATGTAATTCAATCTTCACGTTATGTATACATTGCTCATGATGAATGGCGCAAAATAAGACATTAAATTATATATTGCATAATATTCTTTTTTGTGAATGAAATATTTCAAACATTACAAAAAAAAAGAGAGGTGGTAATAGTCACCATTAGTTGGTGACATTTGATGGGGTGACTGAAGGCATCAAATATCACCAAATAATGGTGATTGTTGCCGCTTTCTTTTCTACTTTTTTTAGCAGTGTAAATTTAAGAAAATGTTATCCTTTACAGTCATGAAGTGTTCAAATATGAACAACGGGTTCACACCAAAGTACACTGACTGTTGAAAAACAATGACAACTAAGTCATGTCAATATCATCATGGGATTGCTATACTTTTGCTGCTTGCAGTTGTTTGCATTAGTATTGGAAATTTCCTGCATTACAAATTTACATTAATTGCATCAGTCTTATAAGCCGATAACATATTGTAATGCAACATTACTCGGTAAATTGGTACAAACAGCACAATGACATTCCCTTATATAGTTAGCATAAGCAAGCAAGAGGAAAAAAAATTGAAGAAAGAGGCCATCAAGCAACCTGCTCGCAGTGGCAGATCCACATTGGGGCAAAGGGGGTCAATTGACCCCTGCAAACCAGAAATCATGGATTGGGGAAAAGAAATGTGACCCCTGCAATTGCTGCTTCTTTTCTTTAAAACGGTAGGCCTTGCTTGATTTGCATACTGCGGCTACCTCGTTGCAGAAGAGCTGTGAAATGACCTGACCCAATTTCCACTTTGGAATCCGGGTCGAAACTTGTTTAAAACTGACACCTGGTATCTGTGGGTCGTAAATGACCAAAATGCCCTGAAAACGATAACACAAACTCTGGGGGCCTAACTCGTGGCTGCGCCTGACAACTGTAGGCTGCCTACGTACCCTTACTGAGGGATCAAGCCACACGTAGTTCTTTCCTCTGTTCTTGACCTGCAACTGGTTTGTTATTTTGTAACTGGTTTAATTATCCGTAAAACATACTATAGGGCTGACATTTCTGGAGTATCCGGGACTCCGTTTTACGATCCGTCAAATACTATACGATCCTGGAAATACCTAGGTCAACATACTTGAAAATGACTACGATCCAACGGTTCAAACGTATAGAACCCGGAAATCGCATACTAGGCGAGATCCGTTCAGGGTTCAAACGTTATCCGAATTAAGATCCGCGAAATCCTACGCGCTCGTGAGGACTAGGAGATTATTTTAGGACTGACTGTGGTCTCCACCCTGATGCTCACGCGCCGCCACACGAGCTGGCAGCGCTGGTTGCTCGAAGCGATAACGCTTCGCCGGAAAATCTCAACATCTCAGCTCAAGACTCCTATCCTAGTTAAAACACCCTATTTGGAACCACTTTTGTTCTTGGACCTACCCCAAAAATTGGCCGGAAGTGGCCGCAACAGTGACCCGAAAACCGGCTGAAACCTAACTCGTAAATCGAACTATTTACGCTAGAAATTTCTGAAATCCTACCCAACCAGCAGCTAGAGCATGAAAAATAGCTAGAAAACCATACCTCACTCGTCCGATTTGGTGGCCGGACGACGGAGAACGAAAGCTTGGAAGTTCTGTCAAAAACTGTCCAGCGCCGCCTGTTTCGTGGCTGTTTCCGACAACTATAGCGGCAGATCGTGGCGGCGAAGGGCTGGGGTTGGAAGAGGGAAGTTTCGTGGTTCATTTGGCACTGGTATTGCCTGAATCGGGGGTCGGAGCTGAGAGGAATCAGCTCAGAAAGTCGGCTCGTTCCCCCTCCCGAATCCAGAAGATTCTGGGTTAATAAAAACTGAAGTTCGAGATATTTACGGTTATGCCACTGAACTTCTTTTAATCGTAACTCCTTCGTTACAACTCCGATTTGAGTCCACTACATGTCTACAGACTCATCTTGCTGCGCTCTACGCAACGGTATAACTGAAATCCCCAAATTCTTTCCCGGTCAAAAAGTCAACTTTTAAACCACTAAAATATTCTAGAGTATAATGGTCTTTTGTTGGAATAAATTAGTAATTAAATATTAATTAAGGACCGGGTTGTTACAAGCTATGTTAGGTATACCCATAAAAAACATATGAATACTACGAATTGAGGAATAGAAACTGTTGGCGAGTCCTTACTTAGTTAGGATTTTGGTTCCTTATTATGTTAGAATTTTGGTTACTTACCCATTTATCTAGTCCTATTATAATTGAGATTTATTTCCTATTGTAATTTATATTTATTTCATATTGTAATTTAGATATATTTCTTATTTTATTTTAGGGTTAACACATCTTTGTACTTATATAAATACCTCTATATTGGAGAAGAATAATAATATGAGAATATGAGCATATCTAAATATTTTCCCCTACTTTATTTGATCGGTATTAGAGCCAGGTTCCTAACCTGTGATAACCTCTGCCAAATTGAGAGTCGTTGCCACTACTCATTCCTAACCCATCATGGGTCTTCATCTTGTATAGTCATCTTCTTTTGTTCGATCCTCTCATATGTATAGTCAACATCTTTTGTTCATCCTCTCATATGTGTTTTCACCGCACCTAGCCTTCACATGCTTCTTTGCTACTATTCCAAAAATTTTATTTTTCATCTTTGTATGCAAGATGGTCTTTCTTGATGTCTCAGCTTCTCTATCTTTGAAACTTTATAACAAGTCTCTTTACTCCGTGAGCCTCGTCACCTCTCACCGAGCCGTTGCTTTCCTTCGTGAGCCTCGTCACTGCTCGCTTGGCCTTTCCTTTGACTGTTCTGCCGGTCTTTGTCTTCTTCAGTTGCTCTCTTGAGTTGCCTTTCAGCTTCTCAGTTTTGAGCACCCTTTCTCTATTTCTCTCTTTGCTCTATTTAACTCTCTTTTGTTTGTCTATGCCCAATGGCGGGTGTTTATTGTGCTCTTTCCCCACGCCATCACTCCATCTCTGTCACTCTAGCCTTTCCCGTTGGGTGCTTATTATTTATTTTTCTATCTCCTTCCCTTTTACCCTTATACTTATTTCTTTCTACCTTTGGCCTCTTTCCAATATTCATCCCTTTCTCTGTCTGTCTATTTCCTCACAGACACCTTCCTTTATCATTATTTTCCTTCAATCACAACATTATTCTCTCCTTTTTTTCGGTTCTAGCACCTCACTTTCTTCCACTAGTTTCTTTTTAAAAAATTTTAAAAATTGTCACATGCAATTTCCCATGCTTTACTTTTTAATATCTTTAGTTTCTTCCTCTTTGATCTACCGATGTGGTTTCCCCTGCTATGCAGCCGAACTCTTTTCATGTCCTCTCTATTTCTCATATTTCTTTTACCAACCTTTTGCATTTTGTTGTTCTCTCACTGCATTATCTCTCACTTTCACAGCTCCCTTATATAATATTGTTTCCCTTTGATGGGCACTCTATCTATTCCTATTCCACACATGAAGGGTTTCCTTTTTTGGTTGTCCTTTGCTCTAATTCCCGTTTGAGCACCTTATCTTTGTCTTTATCTCTGTTCATGATTTGTTGGGTTTCGTCCCTTACTATTCTCCTTTTCTGAAATTTTTTCTTCATGGGACAGTCGTATGCTACCACCTTCCCCTCTTGCATTTGTTTCTACCACGAGACTGGCATGTTTAAGTCTCTTTACTGTTATTTCAATTTCTCTTCTTCCAAATCTCGACCCTTTACCAGTGTCGGATTTGATGGGGAGATAGATGCAACTTTATTTGGGTGCTGCAACTTTATTTTTGGGTGTTGCTTTCTCCAAATCTCGACTCTCATACATCGTCAGATTTGAGGGGGAGTGACACCGTTGCTCATCTATTCCACTGCAATTCAGCTACTTATCTGCCATGGCTAATTCTTCTACATCTGAGAGTTAGTCAGCTTCTATTTCTTAAGTGCCACTTTTTTTATGGTTCCAACAACCCCTTCTTTTCAGGGAGAGAGGAGAAGTGAAGAGAAGTTGTCTCTGCAATAATGGAAGTATTTTTAATTGTTATTTCTGCTGACTACTATGTCCTTTGTTGGTGCCAGTACCGTTGCTCATACCTGTTCGGTCTCTTGCTGGGGACAATGTTATTGCTCGTGCCTTGTTGCTCTTGCTGGTGCCAGTGCCTTGTATTGTTGTTGTTGGTACCAGTATTGTTGCTCCTGCCTATTATGGTGCCAGTATTGTTGCTCATGCCTTTGCTATTGACTTTCTTTGCCTTACCTTACCTTATTTTTTTGAGGTTTGGCTTTACCTTGCCTTACCTTATTTTTAGGGTTTGGTTTTTGCCTTATCTACTACCGTGCTCACATGGTTTTTGTGTTCTGCCTTACATACTGCCGTGCTCACTGGGTTTCTGTGTTATGCATTATCTACTGCCATGCTCACAGGGTTTCTATGTTCTGCCTTATCTATTGCCGTGCTCACAGGGTTTCTGTGTTCTGCTATGTGCCCTATTTTTTAGGGTTTGCTCTTATGTTCCCGCTGCGAATTTTGCTTTAGTCTGTCATTTGTTTCACTCGTGGTTGACGAAAAGACCTTCTCTACAATTGGTGCTTCTCAAGTTTGGTGTTCTATGACTTGCTTGTCAAGTTGGGCATGTGAAATATCTTTGCCCCAACTTGAGGAGAAGTGTTGGTGAGTCCTTATTTAGTTAGGATTTTGGTTCCTTACTATGTTAGGATCATTTTGGTTACTTATGACAGGACCCGCCCCGAATCTCCTCGGAAACCGGAACGGACCCCGTCTAAATTCCGACATCAACCCGATGCCGGGCCCACATACTAAAGACTGAGACTTTCTGCCGAAAATTCGGCAGAGTCTCCCCTTTAAAAATGAACATTCCCAAACTTCAACCTGTTCAAAATTACAGTTACAAACAACCAACTGGCAGCATGCTTTTAAACGCAGCAAAATAATTTACAAACAAGGCCTCCAGCCTCACAAATTTAAACCTTCATCGGGCGATACAGAGCATATCTAAGGAATTAAAAATACAACCGAAGCACCGTTTAACTAAAAGGAAAAAGTACCAAGAGTCTCTACGAAGACTCGAGTTCCAAGATGCACCCGGTCTGGCTCAACTGCAGAGCTCAGTCGTTACTGGCTGGGGGGCGCAAAACAGAAAGTTGTGAGTGGACAAAAATCAAGTTTAGTTCAAGTGAAATCAAAGTAGTATAACCCCCACCTTTATCAAAAACATGCAATGAAACCATAAGCATAACAAAACCATCAGAAACAGTATATAAACATATACTAACGCATATATACCGGATCTCAAATCCGTAATCCGTGAATAATGCTTCACGAAACCCACCACTCAACTTAAGAGTCCCGAGAGATTAGACTCTCGTAAACGTACTCAAAGGTACGACCGGTGAGGAAGTATCCTTACCGAGAAATAGAACGAAGGAACATTCATATATATATATATATATATATACAAATACATACATAATAATAATATGATATAACATAATAATAATAATAATAATAATAGTATATAAATATAACCAATATTTAATTGTACCGGGGAAACAATCCAACCGGGGGACTGTTTGACTAGTCCACATGGCAGAGCCATTCCTCAATTCACCATGTGTCTAGGGAACGAGCCGTCCAACTGGGGGACTAACTCTCAGCCAGCACGTACAGCCGACACAGTCAAAGCTTGTACGCCTGAAATACCAGTCCTACGCGCGCAGACTACCCCAAATCCAGGGTCCACAGCAACATCCCCTCAAGGATGTCCTGAGTTCTAATAACTCCAAAAGTATCCAATATCCGTAACCAAATTCAGATCAGGGGAGGTACATAAATTAGTGCTTAACGCACTCCAAATAACAGATCAAACATTACCTTTCCATAGTTCATATTAACCACCAAGTACCCCATGCATAGCCGCATGTAAATATAGATTCTCAAAATTCAAATATCATAATAAGTTTTATGAAAACCTCGAATTCCCATTCGAGCGTATATAAATAATTAATAGACATAATAAAACAATATGCCATATTTCCATGAATAAAATCATACTGAGTTTCGAAAGAAAAGTCCACTCACAAGTAGTCCCACACAGCTTGACCCTTAGAGGGTCCCGCCTGCTGAGTATGCTGCGTCGGAGTACCTGATTCAGAATACGAAAATGCGATGAACATCAAGCGCTTCAAAACAGAACTTTAAAATAAAACCCTAGCTTCCTGGGAGTTCCTATAGGTTTTACGAGGTCTAGGATACACGTCCTGTAAGTTTGGTCCGAAACGGACGGTTAGATCGCTCACGATCGCACGATTGGACGGTTACTGAAACCCTCACCCTAGGGTTGGCATTTCCGGGGTATCCGGGACTCCGTTTTACGATCCGTCGAATCCTACACGATCTAAGGGTATCTAAAGTAACATACTTCAATTTGAAAACGATCCAACGGTCGGAACATATCGAACCCGGATAACGCACAATATGCGATAATCCGTTCGATAGTCAAACGACCTCGGAATCGAGATCCGCGAAATCCTACGCGCTCGTGACAACTTAAAGATCACATTGGAACAGTTTGCAGCTCCACCACACTTGCCCACGCGCCGACACACGCGCCGGCAGCAAGCGGGTGTGCAGAGAAATTCCGGCGACGGAAAATCTCCAAATCACAAGTCACCCTCCTGGCTACAGGTCCTACTCAACTAGGGAAGCACTTCCTTCAACTACGGCCAAGCCCAAAACCACCGGGAACTGGCCGGAATTTCGAATTGAAAACCGGCCAAAAACCTAATTCGAAAATAACTTCCAAAACCTCAAAATCGTTTCAATCCTAAGCAACAGGCAGCTAGAACAGATAAAAAGAAGGAGAATTCTCACCTTTAACACCGGAAAAGGACGACTGAAGCGGTGGTGCAACGATTGGAAAACCTCTGATTCGAACCAGTCGCAACTGTCGGCGGTTCTCGAGCTTTACGGTCGGGATTTTGGGTGGGTCAGGTCCGGGACTTCACTACGAGTCGAACGGGACCGGTCTCGAGGGCTGGGGGTGGCCGGATGTGGTGGCGGTGTGGATTTTTTTGTTCGGGTGAACAATGACGAGAGAGAGTTCACGGGAGAGAGAGAGAGAACGCACGGGAGAGAGAGAAAGAAAGAGTGAAATGAAATTGAAGAATCTGATTTTTACAAATACCCTTTTCGAATTATTTAAGATTTTGCCACCGAAAGAAATTTCATCGCCAAAACTTCGTTAGAACTCCGATTCAAGCCTACCGCCTGTCTACGAATTCATCTCAGAACCACCTACGCAACCAAACCACTTGTGGTCCCAAAATCCTTCCAGACAAGAAAATGACCGAAATACCCTACCCCAAGGGTAGTTTCGTAATTTCACAGTTAATTTAATTTTAACCTTTTGAATTGGAAAATTAAATAGAGTCGGGGTGTTACAACCTACCCCCCTTATAAAAATTCCGTCCCCGAAATTTACATACCTATCAATTGAAGAGATAAGGGTACTCGGCCCGCATTGCCTATGTTTCCACACAATTCCAATGCACAGTGAAGCAAGTTCGTAGTGATAATGAAACATAATTTTGTCCATGCATTCATTTTTTAACCAACTGGGCACCATTTGGCAACATTCTTACCCCTACACCCCTCAACAAAATGGGGTTGTGGAACGAAAGCACATACATCTCCTTCAAATTGCACGTGCATTACGTTTTCAAGCAAGCCTACCCCTTAAATTTTGGGGCGAGAGTGTCCTAACTGCTGCATATTTAATCAATCGCATGCTCACCTTAGTGCTTTCTAGAAAGACTCCACATGAAATGCTCTACAAAATTTTACCCTCCTACACCCATTTGCGTGTCCTCGGGTGCCTTTGTTATGCCAACCAAACAGCTCACACACATAAGTTTGATGCTAGGGCTCGTAGATGCATTTTTGTGGGTTATCCGTCTGGCCAAAAGGCATATCGCCTATTTGATCTCAAAACACATCAATTCTTCTCCAGCCGAGATGTAGTTTCTCATGAACATGTATTCCCACTCTCAGATATTTCCCATGATACACAACTAGAGGTACCTCAAGCTCCAGTTTTACCATCCATCCCAATCAATCAAGACACCTATTCACTTGAACCCAACCAATCAAACCCACCATTTGAGCCACCCATTGTTGATCCACATACCCAGCCTATGTCTTCACCCGCACCATCCAATTCTTCTCCAATTAACCTTCTTCGTGAATCTTCCTCAGTACCTGAACCTTCTTCGATGACCTTTCCTACACCTAACAGGCCTTCTACACCGTCACCTCCACCACAAGAACCTCGTCGTGGCATGCGCCCCAAGATACCCAATGTGCGCCTTTGCCACTACGATTGCTCACAGGTGACGACCCCCAAACCCAATTCAACATCTTCTTCCAAGTCAGGTACTTGTTACCCTTTTTCTAAATATCTTTCTTGTTCTCACTTGTCACCATCACATCGCACTTTTATCCACAATATCACTACAAGTGTTGAACCCACCTCTTTTGCACAAGCTAATCTTGATCCCAAGTGGCGTGAAGCCATGGAAGTTGAATTGCAGGCCTTTGCAAACAATCAGACCTGGACGCTTACACCTTTGCCTCCTGGTAAGCGGGCCATTGGCAGCAAGTGGGTATAAAAAATCAAACACAAGTTTGATGGTTCAATCGAGTGCTACAAAGACGGTTGGTGGCTAAAGGATATACACAAACTGAAGGTTTGGATTACTATGAGGCATTTGCCCCCGTTGCCAAGTTAGTTACTGTGCGTTGCTTACTGGCCATTGCTGCTCATCGTGAGTGGCCTCTCCACCAATTAGATGTGCAGAATGTTGTCCTCCATAGTGATTTGGAGGAAGAAGTCTATATGTTGCCACCACCAGGGTTGCATCGACAGGGGGAGAACTTGGTTTGTTGCCTTCGGAAAACCCCAATATGGTTTGAAGCAGGCCTCTTGCCAATAGTTCTCCAAATTTACACATGCAATACAACAAGCTGGTTTTCGCCAATCAAAGGCTGGCTACTCATTATTCACATATATAAATGGTCCCTCTATCACTGTGATACTCATTTATGTTGATGACATGATCATGACAGGCAATGATCCTGCTACCATACAACACTTGAAGGATTTTCTTCACCATAAATTCCGCATCAAAGACCTTTGCTTGCTTAAATACTTTCTTGGCATAGAAGTGGCATGTTCAAGAGTGGTGTTTCCATTTCACAAAGGAAATACGTTCTAGATATACTTGATGATGTTGGTTATTTTGGAGCAAAACCTGTGGAGTTTCCCATGGAACAAGACCTAAAATTACAGCCAATGGTTGGAGATTTACTAAAAGATCTGACCCAATTCTGACCCAATATAGGAGAATTGTGGGAAGACTTATTTATCTCACCATAACAAGGCCAGATATCTCATTTTCAGTTCAAGTCTAAGTCAATATATGAATCAGCCACGTAAACCTCATTTAGATGCGGCCATGCGTGCGTTGAAATACTTGAAAGGCATAGCAGGTTAAGGATTGTTTTCCCATCACAAAATTCATTGCAGCGGCATGGTTATTGTGATGCTTCATGGGCATCATGTCCAAGAAGATCAATTACAGGATACTGTGTTTTCTTATGAAATTCATTGATTTCTTGGAAGACAAAGAAGCAACACACCATCTCACGCTCATCAACGGAGGCAGAGTACAGATCCATGGCGGCAATAACATGTGAACTCACATGGATTCGATATGTGTTACAAGATCTTCAAGTGTATCATTCGAGACTAGCAAGCGTGTATTGTGACAATCAAGTTGCAATACACATTGAGGCCAACCTCGTTTTCCCATTTGAATTAAAGCTCTAACAATCGGACCCATCAACACCAATCCCACAAAAACATCCTTACTGAATTTAACCAGACCAAGAACAACAAGAGCAGCTTGGTCTCGAACCCAATTCGAAAACTTTGAGTCACAAACCATAAATTCAAGAAAAGAAAATACCTTTGATCTCAAAATTAAATGTTCATACTGTTTATAAAACCCTTGGCCCCACTTTTGTTATTTAAACATTGTGCTTTGCTGCTCTCTAAAATGAGAGCCTCTCTCTCTAAAATGAGAAAACCCCTGCCTCTGTAGCAGCTGCCCCAAGCTCATCTTGGCCCCATAGGGATTTTGGTTTTTGCTTGAGTTACTCTCGCTTTCCTTCATCTAGCTCGCTACAGTAGGCCGCCCTTATTTTAATCCCCTCTCTGAGATTTTCACCCCTTTTTCTCTTATCTTATTTTCCCCTTGTCTTTTTGTGTTCTCTTGTTCCAACGAGAAGTTGACCAAAAAAGTTTTTTTTTTTAGGGGTCATCACTACTACATTTTACGATTTGCACGACGAATAGAATTTCGTCGCGCAAAGTTACTTTTAGTCGCACAAATTCAAGTGCAACAGAAAATTGGTCGCGCACAATCCGCCGCACAAAGAGAGTGAAGAAAGACTTTGCGCGACCAATTTTTTTCATTTGTCGCGCAAAACTATGCGACGGTTATCCTTCGTTGCACAGAAGGTTCAGGGACGACACAACTGTTCGTCGCACAAACCTTTGCGCAACGAAAGAAGGTTCGTCGCGACAACACTGCGCGACGAATAATGTTCGTCACGCGATTCGTGTCACAGACATTTGCGGCATGAAGAGTTCTTCGTCGCGCAATTTGTGTGTCCAACGTTTGCGCGACGAAAGATATTGCGCAACGAAATTGTCGTTGTCGCGCATATCCTTTTTGCGCAACGAAAGACTTCGTCGCGCAAGAATAAATTATATGTATTTAAATATAAAAAAATTCACACTTTTTTATTTTGTAAAATGTGAATTTGGGCGACGAGAAAGGTTTCGTCGCGCAAAATTAATATATATTATTTAAATTTAATATTACATTTTTTTTTGTAAAAAAATAAATTTGGTTTTTTTTTTTGGTAATAAAATGAAATTGCAATAAAAAAAAATGAATTGTAAAAAATACATTTATTATATAAAATAAAATAAATGTATACTACAAGAGAAATATTTAAAAAATAATTATGAAAATAAAAAAACTAATCAAATAATGTTCCAGAATCTACATTGTCATATGGCACATGCGGCTCGGAGGTCTGGGGGTCTATAAGGGTCGTCTTCTGGTGGGGATGCTCAGGGTGGACGGGCTTGGAGGTTAGCGCATCAAAATGCCGGACTGGAATGCCGAACCGTGCGAGCGACTGTAAAATCACCGACATCTGACTCTGAAAAGTGGCCACCTGTGCTGTCAAAGCAGTCACTTGACTATTTGACTGCGCTGATGAACGGGGTCTGGATTCCCTCCACCTGGCATTCCTCATCCCTCGACAATATGTCCCCGGCCTCCTCCCGAGAGTCTAATCCAATGTCTCTGTCAAGATCTAAAACCCAACATCCTGTGGAGGATCCACAAACTCAATTGGAGTATCGGGAGGAAGTTGGGAGGCGGACTCCTGAAGAACCAACTGGCTCTTCTCCACCATCGTCGCCAAAGATGTCGATCTTTGGGAATTTGGACCCCCCCTAAATTGAACAAGAGAAGAAAAATATTAGTACGAAAAAAATAAATTAAGAATAATGACATATTAAAAATTAAATAAAAATATTTTATTATTACCTGCCGTCGTGCATCCATCCTATAGGAGAAGGGCCTGGAACCTGAATGGTGGAGAAGAGTCTTCTTCCTCCTATTGCCCTTATTGACTTTGGCTTTATTCTGTTATACAAAAAATAAAACGTATTAGTTGAAATTGAAATGAAATATAAAAAATTAAATAAACATTAGTAAGAAATATAATATCATATTACAAATTACGACAAAAGCGAGCGCCTGAAAATGAGCGCAGATCCACGCCCAACTATCCTCCCGCCCCTCAAGCTCCTTCGGGCAACCCTCCTGAAGAGTGACTTGCGGATCATCAAACGCCTCAAAATAGGGGTGCAAGTCGCTCTTCCACTGTTTGTACCTCTAAGAGAAGAGTCTGTTGACGTACGCCAACGACTCGTCGTCGAGGTCCTCTCCAAGTTGTAGTTCGTCTTCAATAAATTAATTACATACATTAAATAATAGAAATATATAAAGTTTGAAAGAAAACGAATAAAAAGGTAGGATACATACCGACAACTGGCCGCGAACCTCTGTCTTGATCTCGTCAGACATGACCTTCCAAGACTTCCATTGCATCGGGCAATGGGTCCGAACGACATGACCAATGTCGCGGGCCAAGGAGCTATGCAACTCCGCCGTCGGTGCAGCCCGATGTTGCTCGTCGTATCCGATATTGATACGATTGTTGGTCACCCGGGTGTTCTTCTTGGTTGCAAAGAATGACATTAATGTTAAATAAATAATAAATTTAACTATAAAAAAAACAAAACAAAAAAAAAAAAAAAAAAAAAAAAAAAGGAAATCTATACCTGGCTATGACCCCGACGCATCAGTCGATGTGGTGTCAGTGGTGCTGGTGGAACGATGACGCCGCCTAGCGCAAACAGGCTGCGCCACCGATGAAGCCGATGAAGCAGGCGCCTGGGACCCCACGAGACCAACTGCTAAGTAGTCCATCAGTGCCGGCGCAGTGGCAGTAGATGCCGGCTGAGCCGGGGGCTCCGAACTTTGTGTAGTCATCACCGCCCTACGACGTCTAATCAGGTCTGACATCTGCACAATTTCATTAATAAAATATACAAATATTTGTAAGCACATACAATTTTATTAAGATTCTTGACCTAGGGTTTGTGAGTTCGGAGTATCCGGAACTCTGATCCACGATCCGTCGAATCCTACACGATCCTAGAAATACAAGGTACAACATACGTGAGTTTGAGTTCGATCCAACAGTCCTAATATATCAAACCCAGAAATCGCGCAGTAGGCGAAATCCGTTTGAGACTCAAACGGTAACTAAATTCCAATCCGAACACACCTACGCGCTTGTGACAATTAAGGGATTGCACTGGGACCAAATGCATGAGTGGTACAGTATCCCACGCACCACCACACGCGCCTGTAGCGCATCGGTGTCCAAAGCGATAACAATCGTCGGAAAATTTTAAAAACTAAGGACCAAGGTTCCTACCCTAGGTTGAAAACATCAATTGGAGCCACTATTGTTCTCGGACCTACAGGAAAAATGGCCAGAAGTGGCCGGAATTTAAATTCAAAAACCCGCCGAAACTTAGGGTATACAATCGATTGCCCTGTTGCAACAATTAATGAAATCCTACCCAACCATCAGCTAAAGCATAAAAAATAGTCCAGAAACCATACCTCAGGTGTTGGATTTAGTGGCCAGAGGAGAGAGAACGAGGTCGGCGAAGATTCGGTGAAAATCGAGCAAATTCCTGGGCAGGCCCGACGGTGATGGCGGGGGAAGCTTCGGGGTTCGAAGGTTGTTGCGGCTCGGTCTAAATTCCGGCGGAGTAGGGGGCTGAGGTGACGGCGGAGAGAGAGAGAGAGAAAGTCATGGCAAAAAATCAGAAATTGGGGAAGAAGAAGGCGCTCGCGTCGTTTCTAAAACTTTATCCAATTTTTCTCGACGAATAATTAAAAGTGTCCGCACAAAATATTTAAATGAATCTTGCAATGTTGTGAGTCCGCCAAAATTTGGAATTAGGGTTTAGGGTTTGTGCGATTTTGCGCGACGCATAGTCAGGTCTTTCGTCACGCAAGGTTGTCATTCTGCCAAAATTTCAGGATTTCAGGTTTAGCGGGAGAGAGAGAAAGTGAAGGGTCTGTGCACTTTTGCGCGACGAAGACAGAACAGTGTCAAGCAACGTTGTCCGTTGTTCACTTTGCGCGACACAGATAACGCTATCCGTCGCGCAGGGTTGTGATTCTGCCAAATTTGGGGTTTAGGATTTATAGGGGAGAGAGAGAAGGTGAAAGGTCTGCCGATATTGTGCGACGAACATATACAGCCGTCGTGCAAAGGAATGTTCTGGGTGGAGAGAGAGTGAAATGTTTGACTGAGATTGCGCGAGGAAGAAGTACCCTTTCGTAGCTCAAGCTTGGGATTGCCAAAAATTTGGGCTAAGTGTTCAAAGGGGAGAGTGAAAGGTCTGAATGAGATTGCGCGACGAAAACGTAACCCTTTCATCGCGCAAGCCTATTTTCTGTACACTTTGCGCTACCGAGAAGTACCCCTTTCGTCACGCAAGATTTTGATTCGCCAAAAGTTTGGACCAAGTGTTCAAGGGGGAGAGAGAGTGAAAGGTCTTACCGAGATTGCGCGACGAAGAAGCAATATTTTCGTCGCGCAAGCCTATTTTCTGTACACTTTGCGCGACGGAGACACATTATTCGTCGCACAAACCCTAAATCCTAAACCCTAAACCCTAAACCCTAAACCCTAAACCCGAAACTAGTTTCAATGATCCAACCGGCAAACGTGTTTTTTTATACTTCGAGATCGTATACGCCGAAAATCGGAAAAAATAAACATTAAGAGATCAAGTAACAGGACAAAACTTTTCGATGGTTATAAATGAAAAGTCATGATTTAATGATTATTTTAATTCCGATTTTGATAATTTTTTACAGCTACATTTCTTGACCCTATATGAATACAATGACTGAATTTGATCTTCAATTTAAGATTTTTACACTAGGGGATACAACATAATCTTATGTTATATTTAACGCAAGTATAAATAAAGTCTTCATTGTTGGTGAATATATGGTTTTGATGGCATCCGCATTCTATGATACTAGTTTCAATAATCCAGCCATCAAACTTGTTTGTTTATACTTCGAGATCCCATAGACCCCAAAAAAAAAAAAAAAAAAAAAAATCAGAGATCAAGTAACGGGACAAATTTTTTTTACGGTTATAAATGAAAAGTCATGATTTAATGGTTATTTGAACTCCGATTTTGATGATTTTTTATAGCTACACTCCGTGACCCTATATATGTGTGTATATATTATATTACAGTAAAATAATATATATTTGCGTGACGAGAGATATCCTTTCGTCGCACAAAATTTCATCACGCGACAGATGTTAGGTTGTCGCTCAATGTTGTAACTTTACGCGACGAGTGGATTCTGCGTTGCGCAAACTATGCGCGACGAGAAGATATTCGTCGCGCAAGGATTTGGTGCCATTTACATATTTATGTCAAATTGTGTATCATTTTCATTTAAAAAAAATGTTTTGTGTAAATAATTTTCAAACTTTGTATCAAAAGGGTTTGGATATATTTATTTACCAATGTTTTATAACAAATTGTTTTTTTCATTTTCATTTTCTTGTATATGTCAATTTATTTAATAATGTCTCACGCGGTTGTTGTTGCGTTGACCTAACTTGCTTGTCCTTTTTCTTTTATAAAGTGAAGTGATAAACTTTCATAAACTCATGAAAAGTCAATAAAAGTTAGAATTGGATACAACCGCCTTAGGTTAGATTGTTTATCATTTTCATTTTTTAAAAGTGTTTTGTCAAAATAATTTTAAAAATTATTATTAAAAGGGTTTGGATATATTGATTTATCAATGTTTTATAACTAAATTTATTTTAATAATGTTTCATTTCTCCACATGTATAAGGTTTGGATATAACAACTACATATATTCAAACATTTGTATTACACAAAATTTGTACACTAACATAATAAAATTACAAAAAAAATTTATTATTCATCATCTGAACTATAATAACTTTCGTTATCGTCGCTATCATCACTTTCGGTCTCCCAATCCTCCTCCTCCTCCTCTATAACTATATCATCGTCGTTGCTTGAGCCCACTGCAACATCGTATCGCAGAAGATCACCGAGGTCAATTGTAATTGACTGAATCGATATTTCAATTGAAGACACTCCTTGTATTTGAAATGGCTTTTGTAAACATGTATCTCGAAGTGTTTCCGCATCATTTTCCATTGAAGATTCTAAACGTTGGTCAGCCACATTGTTGACGTCGTTGTCAGTTGGGTCTAGTTCTGGTATAGCATACACGTTCCTATGATTCATCTTTTGAACAACGTTTCCAACCGCTCTCGGCTTTAGGGTCATCTAGATACACAATTTGTGTTGCCATGTTTTGCCAAAATATAAGGGTCGTCATCATACCAAGTTCTGTTCATGTTCACAAATAGTAAGCCATGGTCGATTTTAACACTTCCCGGGCCTATTTGGGTTGGTGTCAAACCATCGACACTTAAACATGATCACTTGGTATCGATCTTTGTAAAGCAATTGCACGACAGTTGTGAGTTTGCCATAGAAATCAATGTCCGTACTTTCGCCTCCACCTGGGACATGGACACCGCTGTTTTGCGTACACAACTTGTCATCTCGTGCTACGCCCAAAAATTTGACGCCGTTGACATTACAACCCGAGAACAATTCAGCGCGAATCGGGCCGAACGCCAAGTTATATAACTCATCACTGTAAGTTGGGGGAATTCGATGATTTCAACTTATTCACCTAATATTATACAAAACCATTCACATGTTAGTCTGACAAAATTAAATACTACAATTTATATTTCTCAAATACAAAACACTTATAACTTACAGAATCCAAAAACCATTGTGGAAACAATTCACGGTGTTTCTGGGCAACCAAATGTGATGGATGTTCTCGCTTCATCATCTCTTCATGCTCATATAAGTATCCCATGATCTCATCACAATTGTTCAGTACGAACCAATGCGCTACCTCCATGTCATTTCTAGAAAACGACTCTCCGCGTCCAGGATCTCCAAAGGGTCGTGCGCTTTGGGCAAAAACAGAAAGTTTTTCATTTCTCATACCTCCGTCATGATTGCGCTGAGGACGATTGAAAACCGTCTCCACATCTTTTAAATACATTCCAGAAAGTAAGCGACTCATATTGAACCCAAGCCTCTATAATTGATCCTTCGGGCTTCGCCCTGTTGCGTACACTTTTTTTCAGCTCTCCGAGAAGCCTGCCAAAATAAAACGATATGATACAAATTAGCAAGCATGTGATAATGATGCATACACAAACGATAAGGATTATATACCTTTCTATTGGATACATCCAGCGATAGTTGACAGGACCAGCAAGCAATGCCTCTTCTGGCAAGTGAACCATCACGTGCATCATACTTGTGAAGAAAGCTGGAGGAAAATCATCTCAAACTTGCATAGGACTTGGACAATGTCATGGCGCAACTGAAACATGTCCGTTTTTTCGCAAAGTTTTTGCCGTCAGTTGGGAAAAAAATCTGGACAACAAAATGATTGGCTTCACTACATCTTCCGGCAATAGGTGTCGAATACCAACAGGAAGTAGGCGTTGCATAAACACATGGCAGTCATGGCTCTTAAGTCCAGTAAATTTACCCCCGTCAACATTCACACAACGTGCGATATTAGAAGCATACCCATCGGGAAACTTTACTGACGATACAAACTTTAGAAACTCTTTCTTGTCATTCGGTTTCATAGAAAAGAATGCAAGATCCCTTCTAGCTTTATCATTGTCCCTATTCATCCATAAACCCCTTCGTATGCCCATTCTTTCCAAATCAAGACGAGCTTTGATCGTGTCCTTTGTCTTGCCCCTCGATATCTAGAATCGTGCCCACCAATGTGTCGAATACATTTTTCTCAACATGCATCACATCTAGATTGTGCCTCAATTTGAGTTTCGACCAATATGGGAGCTCAAAAAACATAGGCTTGTGCGTCCAGTTCATATGTGTAGAAGGTCTGATACGACTAACTGTTTTCCCGAACGGAGCAAAATCCAAACGGTTAAGCTGTCCAATATCTCATCACAGACCATTCTCTAGGGTCTGAGGCGACGCTCTGTGTTCCCGTCGAACTCTTTATCTTTTTCCCTCCACTCGTGGTCCCATGGCAACCATCTCCGATGACCAAGGTAACAAACTTTTCCACCGTGCCAACCAAAAAGTTACATCTTCCTTGCATACAGGACATGCCATATAACCCTTTGTGCTCCACCCAAAACCATTGCATATGCTGGGAAATCATTCACAGTCCACATAACTGCTGCCCGCAAAGTGAACATCTTCCCAGTTGATTTATCGTACGTGCGAACACCGTTTGTTCACAAATCCTTCAGCTCATCAACCAGCGGCCTTAAGTAAACATCGATTGACCTGCCCAGGATCCTCAGTTATCAAAACAGTCATCATCATGTATTCTTTTTTCATGCATTTCCAAGGCGGCAAAATTATATGGGAATACGAAAATCGGCCAAGTGTTGTGGTGTTGGTTTAGAACCCCATACGGATTGAATCCGTCAATGGCAAGTCCCAATCTAACATTTCGGGGATCAGCAGCAAACTCGGGGAACGTTCGATCGAACTCTTTCCATGCCTCCCCATCTGCAGGATGCCGCATCACATCATCGTCTACCCGTTTTTCCTTATGTCATCTCATGTCTGTGGCAGTATGCGTCGACATATACAATCGCTGCAACCTAGGTTTCAGGGCAGATAACGCATGACTTTTTGTGGGATCTTAGTCGTTCTATTCTGAGATGTCATCTTGAACCTCGACTCATTGCATATAGGACATGTATCCAACGTTCATGCTCTTTGTAGAATACATGCAATTGTTTTTGCAAGCATTTTTTCATAACCCAATCCAAGACCATTCAACACCTTCTGCGCCTGTTTATGCTTTTTCGGCAAACAATTGTCCTCGGAAGCATTCTCTTGAAAACCCCCAAAAAGTAATCAAAACACAGGTTCGACATACGATACTTTATTTTTCCGTGCATTAGCTCCACAATGGCCGTGAGAACGGAAAAGCTCTCGCACCCTGGGTATAACTCTTGGTTGGCATTTTTTAACAGTTTTTCATATTGTTCAAACTCCGCACTGTCTATTGGTGTAGGCACGTCATCTTCCTCTTCTTGATTGATGTTGGTCGATGCAAATGGAAAAACATCCTGTATAATATCCATGACTTGATCATTAGGATCCACAATAGGTTCAACATTGTCCACTCTTGTGGCATTTGAAGACGAAGCATGGTCTAATTGTTCCCCGTGAAGGTTCCAAATGCTATATGTCTCAATCATTCCATTCCTTACTAAATGAAATCCAACATTTTCAATTGTCTCCCACAACGTGTTGTTACACCTCCTACAAGGACAACGGATTCTAGTTGCACCCGGGTTGTGTCTACGTGCAAACTCAATAAAATCCTCGATTCCATCCAAGTATTCGTCTGCGCATCTATTCGGGTTCTGTATCCACCTTCTGCTCATAATTCCTGAAACCACATCACAACACAACAATCACAACAACTTCATACGAAGTTATAATGTCACCTTATGCCTCCGGTAAGGGTCCCTATCCCATTCGGGAATGCATACTCCTGCCACGTAACCTACGACTACATGAGATTAGATTTCGACGTGGATGAATTTCGCAGCATCTCGATACAGTTCTTGAGGTGGGCCATAGGTATAAATACCTACGTACCACCCGAAGAACGTACCGAGATGACACGAAATATCCACAATCGAAACCTAATCCTGTAGCCATAGATTACGTGACAACACTATGCATTACCAAACTGTCCAAATAATGGGACAATTCAAGAATTAATTGGACCGCAGTCATGCATTACGCATCCATGCACGAAAATCCAACTAATCTCGAACGGGAAACTAAGTGTTACTAAACATAAAAATAAAAGCACGAAGTTAATTTCAATTAACTTCGTACATCACAACACATTGTGCTACGTTCACGCACAATTTAACAACATAATATAAATATAACTTCACAAAAAAATTTAAACATAACAAATTAACATTATTAATATATAAAACGAATAAAATACCTTCTCAATCGTTCTCCACCAATCGCTAATTACAAATATCCCTAACGAAAACAAAATTAAAAAACCTTAGTACGAACTTAAATTAATACTTTTAAACTAATGACGAAAAATACTTACCCAATCAATGTATTGAATTCCCGCAGCAGCGGCAGAGAGGTTGAGAGAGAGGCAGAGGCAGAATGCTTTTTTTTGCATTCTGCCTCTGCAATGGCAGAATTCTAATATGAAGAAGGACTTTGCGCGACGAACCCTTGGTTTGTCGCGCAAACTCCCGTCGCGAAAAACCATTTTCTCCGTCCCACAAAACACTTTTTTCGTCGCGCAAGCACATGTCGACATCAAACTTTTGCGCGACGCATGACATGGTTCGTCGGACAAACTTTCGTTTTCTTACACGATGATAAATGATGGTGTCGCGCTAAGTTGTCTTTTGCGACGAAAACTGTCGTCGCACAAGTTTTTGCCGCCAAATAACAGGACCCACTGTTTTGTGTCCACCTTACCCGACGAAGTGTCCAATCGTCGCGCTAGGTTCTCTTTACACGACGATTTTCGTCGTCGCGCGCAAGTGTTGGCAAGCAAAAAAAAACAAAAAAAAAAAACCCTAGTTTTTTTTTCCTCACTTTGTGCGACGAAGAAATTTTCTGTCGCGCTAAGACATTTTGCGCGACAAAAAATTGGTCGCCCCCAATTTTCAGTAGTTTGCATGACGAATATTTTTTTCCGTCGCTATAGTGCATTTTGGCACCTATGGAAAGGGAGGCAGCGGATGAGCTGGTCCTCCACTTGAAGATTCTCTTGATTTAACAAATATTAGTACTGGCATCCAACTTATTGGGTGTATTATCGCCTCAAAAGTTCCAAATATTGGGGCTATCAAGCATATCCTAAGAAAAGCCTGGTCAAACTTTGGTGAAGTAAAGATCTCGCATGTCAAATAGAATATCTTTCCATTATGGCGGAGAATGAAGCGGTTGCAGGAAAAAATGTTGAGGCCAGCCCTTGGTCAGTGATGAGACACTGCTTCTCGGTTAAATATTGGCCATCTGATATGGCATGGAAGAACTTCCTACCCATATGGTTCAGTATTAGGTGCAAACGCATGGGATTCCTCTAAATCTGATGAATAAGGAGTGTGCTGGAAAGATTGGTGGAAATTAGGGAAGGTGCTAAAGCTGGAAGATAAGAGGGGAAGCAGAGGGTTTCGCCGTTTCCAAGTGGACCTGGACTCCAAAAACCCCCTTGTGAAGGGATTCTGGCTGCCACGACGCGATGGCTCTACATCTTAGGTTGAGTTACACTATGAGAAACTTGGTGATTTTTGTTTTTGTCGTGGGCGGCTGGGACATAAGAACTCTATCTGCCGGCAAACAATCAGATGAAGAAAGATCAGGTTATGGCAGCTGGCTGGCGGTGGAGGCGATGAGACTTGAACCCACCATCCCACCATAACTGCATGTGCAAATGGGGGAAGAAGAAAGACCGGCAAAACGGGTGAACCAGGCCAGCGGCCGTATAATTGCAAAGGTGCGACCACTTACCCCTGGCGGGAGCCTGAGGGGAATGTCGGGTGCAAGGGAAATCGTGGGCACGAGCTCTGATGAGGTGGCAACTGGTCAGCACAACCAGCCAAATACTGACAGTTCAGGAAGAGACAAAGGGGACCAGCCAACCTTGTCTTTTCCCCGTGATTCGAACGCACACCCCTATGGGCCAAATGGTATGGTAACCTTTGGTTATGACAACAACCTTGCCCTTGTTGAGCTTAACTTTCCTTCGCAGATTGTTAGGCATAGTAACTGGAAGGGCCCATTGTCTTTTGAACAAGTTATGGACCTAAGGAGAGCCCAGATCTCGATGGGTCATCAATATATTATGGATTGGGACACTCCTGGGCCAAGTATGAGAGCACCAAGTGTGGAGGATAACAATCCTTATATTGGACCTACATTAGGAACCCTTTGATACTACTCCGTAACACACTACCCCAATTTCAACATAGGTGACCAGAGAGCTTTTAGCCATATGAGTCTGAAGCGGCCTGCAAGAGTGGAGTGGCAGGATGTTGGGAGGGAGCAAAAAAGGAGCAGAAGGTTAGGAAAAAAGAAGATACAAACCTTGCCTTCCCGCAAAAAGCTAACTAGAGGTGGCAGATCGAGCCGTGGTGGCAGTAAAGGAAAAGGGAGATCACTTTCAATTAAACCAAACAAGAGAGCGGGAGGGGTGGTGATAAAGGAAATCCAAGCCGCCCAGAATGAAAACGGAGACCAAGATGATGGACTCATGGAAGTCGCTGTGGAAGCCTGCTATGTTTCATAAGACAATTTTGGTGCGGATCTGGAATCCAGGAATTCGAGAGTGCCCTCCCGGGGCGGTGGTGGCTGGCCCTCAACAGCCACAAAATCGTCATGATACACCTTCTATGGAACTATCAGGGCTTGGATCTGAACCTGACAGTCCAGCACCTGGGAACCATCACTAGGAAATATCGGCCCTCCATTGTCTTTCTCATAGAAACCAAAATGAAAGACAATGCAATAAATGTAATAAGACAAAAGTTGGGTTATCGAAATTCTTTCAATTTTGATCCGGATGGTATTGCTGGCGGTTTGAGTCTATGGTGGAATGATGATTTGGATATCCAAATCCTTTCTTCATCTAAGAATGTTATTGATACGGCAATCATTAGTAGGAATGGTGATTGCCCAAAGCGTATCACTTGGGTGTATAGCACACTGCATAGAGTGGAAAAAGATGCTTTTTGGAGGAATTTAGAGCAGTTAAGTGGGGATAATTCCTTACCTTGGTTATGTGCAGGTGATTTCAACGAAATTTTATGGGGTTTTGAAAAGAGTGGAGGTCACGAGACGTCTCTTTATAGGCCTCAGTACTTGATGAATTTTATGGATAAAATTGGGTTAATTGATCTTGGGTTCCAAGGCCAAAGTTTCACTTGGAGAAAAAATAGATCCGAAAGGGGTTTAGTGCAAGAACAGTTAGACAGGGACCTGATTAATTGTAGTTGGCAGGAAGCTTGGCCAAACTCTACTGTTACTCATTGCCCAGCTGTGGGATCAGACCATTGTCCTCTTGTGATTGACTCGAGCCCGATCCTGAAAAAGGTAAACAAGCTGTTTAAATCTGAGGCTTTTGGGCATCTAAGCATGACAGTAAGGAGATAGTTCGGAAAAATTGGCATGAGGCTATCGCTAGAAGGAATTGGCAGATTGACAAATGGTGCTTAGGCCTTAAGTGGTGTAGAAAGGGCCTTCAAAAATGGAGCAAAGAAAAGTTTCCAAACAACAACAAGTGTATATGGGAGCTCATGGAGGCTCTCTCTAAGCTGCAAATGGATTGGGAAGTCAATTATCCCCTCATTGAACCAGTTAAGTTGGAATTGGCTAAGTTTGGTCCTATGAAGAGAAGTTTTGGAATCAGTGGTCTTGGGATAAATTGTTAGAGGATGGAGAGTCAAACACAACTTTCTTCCATCACTCCACCATCCAAAGGCGTAGAGACAACCGTATCTGCAAGCTGAAACTAGACAGTGGGATTTGGGTTGAAAATGAGGTTGATATCCGAAGAACTATTGATGGTCATTTTCATGGGCTATTCACTACTGGTGGTCATCGGGAACTCCAGCATGTTCTAGCGAACATAAAGAGGGTGGTTCACTGGAAATGAATGAGGTTCTGTTGCTTCCCTTACAGGATGAAGAGATTGATATTGCTACAAAAGAGATAGGGGCGTTGAAATCCCTTGGCCCTGATGGGTTTCAAGGCTTATTCTACCATACATACTGGGTGTTGATCCGTAATGAAGTTCGAGGTGCGGTTCATGAGTTTTTCAGAGGGGAAGTGGCATTGGATAAATTTAATAGCACAAACATCGCCCTTATCCCAAAGGTCCCAAACCCAGAAGTTGTGAGCCATTTCTGCCCTATCAGTTGCTGTAATTTCTCATACAAGATTTTTGCCAAGGTCTTAGCCAATCGGTTCAAGCCCATACTTGAGCAAGTTATTACCCACCATCAGAGTGCTTTTATGCCCAATCGACAAATTCAAGACAATGTGATTATGCTCATGAGGTTTTTCATCACCTAAAAATGCTAAAAAAGAAAAAGTGTTTTGAAATGGCCATGAAATTGGATATAAGCAAAGCTTATGACAGGGTTGAGTGGGATTTCCTCGAGGCTACTATGATTAAGATGGGCTTTGACAATCGATGGGTGTCCCTGATCCTTAAATGTGTTCGATCTGTGGAGTTTTCTGTGATTATTAATGGCAGTCTAGGCAAGTGTTGTGCCCCACAATAGGCCTGAGGTAGGGTGATCCCTTATCCCCTTACCTCTTCATTATTGTCAGTGAGGCCTATCTGTATGAAGAAAAAAAAAAAAAAAAAAAAAAAAAAAAAAAAAAAAAAAAAAAAAAAAAAAAAAAAAAAAAAAAAAAAAAAAAAAAAAAAAAAAAAAAAAAAAAAAAAAAAAAAAAAAAAAAAAAAAAAAAAAAAAAAAAAAAAAAAAAAAAAAAAAAAAAAAAAAAAAAAAAAAAAAAAAAAAAAAAAAAAAAAAAAAAAAAAAAAAAAAAAAAAAAAAAAAAAAAAAAAAAAAAAAAAAAAAAAAAAAAAAAAAAAAAAAAAAAAAAAAAAAAAAAAAAAAAAAAAAAAAAAAAAAAAAAAAAAAAAAAAAAAAAAAAAAAAAAAAAAAAAAAAAAAAAAAAAAAAAAAAAAAAAAAAAAAAAAAAAAAAAAAAAAAAAAAAAAAAAAAAAAAAAAAGAAGTGGAAAATTTATTTTACGACGGTATTTGAAGTCCATTAAACTTGTCGACGTTAAGATATATGAATTAGACGACGTCAATTTTTTAAATGAAGACGTATAAATTATTAAAGACGACGGTCTTTTTCATGGTAAAGACGTTGTATATAGACTACAACGTCGTCATTATAAATTACTGTGTCGTAATTAATGACCCCATTATTTTTTCCACGTCGTTTATTTTCAAAATATGACGTATAAATTCTGTAATACGGCTCTCATTTATTTGGAACCGACGTTATTTATTCATTCAACGTCGTCTCTGTAAATACATGCGTCGTAAGTAATGACCCTAACATCTATTTTCACGTCATAATTCATAGAAAAATCGAAGTGGAAAATTTATTTTACGACGGTTGTTGGAAATGTTGTGACGTAGTAGGTGTCAATAACGTCGTCTATTATGATTGTAAAGACGTCATATTATATTTGTCGTTAAATATTTATTTAACGGCGTTAAGTTTTAGTTCTCGTCGTTGTATGTTTATCTTGCGGCCATGTTCTGTTAATATATGTCATATGTTTCCTTTTTAACGACGTTTTTTTGTTGGAGTTGGTCGTCTATTCTCATTCGACTGTTTTTTTTATGTCTTTTTGCAGCACAAAGACGTCGGTCTTGATTTTTTGATGACGTTTTTTGTTTTAACAACGACGGTTATTCACCGTCGTGGTTTTGTTATGGAAAAGATGTCGGTGGATTCCACGACCATTTGAAAACAGAATACACGACGGTGAATTCCCGTCGTGTTTTTCCTTTTTTGTAGTAGTGTGGTTCTATCAATCTCACCTGTCACCTAAAATTACATGATGTTCTTTGTGTCCCTGGGTTTCGAGTTAATTTGTTGTTTGTTAGCAAACTCACTCGTGACCCTCAATTGTTTGGTCTTATTTTTTCCCACCTTTTGTATCCTGCAGGATTTAACCTTGAGGAAGATGATTGGATTGGGGAAGGATCGTGATGGTTTGTACTATTTAGTACCAATCACTGAAGATTGTCTTCGTGAGCCTAGTCCCAAAATTTCGACTGTTGCACCCTCTTCAACAACAAATCTCTAGCACAAACGATTGGGTTACTTGTCTAGTGGTCAATCTCGAGTTTTATCTCAAACTATCCCTTCAATTTCTTTTGATTTTAATTCCCATTGTTGTATGTCCTCTTGCTAAACAAACCAGATTACCTTTTTCGCTCAGTTCCATTTCAACAAATAAAGCTTTTGATTTAATACATTGTGATGTTTGGGGGTCCTCGTCACTTGCCTTCTCACTTAGGTGCCAAATATTTCTTAACAATTGTTGACGATTATTCGCGTTTTACTTGGATATTTCTCATGAATTTTAAGTCTGAGACACAAGAAAAATTGAAAACCTTTTTTGCCTATGTTTCCACACAATTCCAATGCACAGTCAAGCAAATCCGTAGTGATAATGAAACAAAATTTTTGTTCATGCGTCCATTTTTTAACCAACTGGGGACCATCTGGCAACATTCTTACCCCCACACCCCTCAACAGAATGGGGTTGTGGAACGAAAGCACAGACACCTCCTTCAAATTGCATATGCATTACGTTTTCAAGCAGGCCTACCCCTTAAATTTTGGGGGGAGAGTGTCCTAATTGCTGCATATTTAATCAATCGCATGCCCACCTTAGTGCTTTCTAGAAAGACTCCACATTAAATGCTCTAATTCCATTTTCTCTTGCTCCACTAATTCCATTTCTCATTTTCTCAACTCTTGCAGATCTTCCTCAGCCCCTACTTTCTCAACTATTGTCAATCGATCTTCATTCTTTGGAAATCGCTCAGATGGCATCAAACGAAGAGGGGAGAAGAGAAGGGTTAATTGGGCGGAGGTTGGATGGCGGCCTGAGTGGGTGTTGCTGGGTTGTTTTATGAGTGGGTTTTGTAGTCTGGGTTGGGTTGTGAGCGAGCTCATTGCTAAGAGGTGGGTTGAAGGGTAATTGGCGAAAAGATTTTCTATTTAAACCCCACACTTCTCTTTGTTCACCCCATGTTCTAAGTTCACCCCAACTTCTAATTTAAATTTTCACAATTTCTAAGAAAACCCCACTATCTTCCCAAACTACCCTTAAATATAACCCAAGTTGAAAAAATAAGAAATAAAAATGTTTTTCTATTTAAACCCTACACTTTTCTTTGTTCACCCAAATACTTAAATCATTAAACAATATTTGTAGTATATATGAGATTTTGTTGTTTTCACAAGGCTGTTTTTATCTTGTGATTAGATCATATGGGAAATTGTAGTTTGTTTGGTTTCGCTTTATGATGATAGTGAAAACCAATGACCACAACATTAGCAATAAGACTGTATCTGTAGGAAGATGGTTCCTGTGCCCTTCATCATACTTTACTTGAAGAGATTTGCATCTTTCCTTGCTGGAAAGAACAAGGCCGCAGCTCGGTTCCTTAACATACTGTTTGTGAGAGCCAAAGAGAAAGCGGCCCTGTAGAGGAGTTCCAATGGCTTGGTCTGATGTTGTTTGTGGTTGTGCCTTTCCGTGGAACAGAAGCATGGACAGGAGCCATCATAGCTTCCATTCTTGATATGCCATTCTGGGCAAACAGTGTCTGCAAATTTCTTTGGTGTGTATTGGCTGGGCTTCTAGTAAATTTGCTGGTGAACCTTGGTCTCAAAATATGCAATTATCACTGGTATTATCCTCTCATTATATCCACATTCATGTGGAGCATCCTTCGGAACCTTAGGAAGTCTTTAAGCTCATCAAGTTGATATGACATTGGAAATTCTTAAAGTAATCCAATCCCTCATAAGGGGTAACTAATGATCCTTGAATTTTGAGATTGTATGATCCTTGAAGAGTGGTAGGGTGTGTGAGGTGTGTGTATAGATAGATGTATTAAGGTTAAATATTAAGTTGAATGACCTTTTTTGTCTTTTTACACAATAATAAAACTAACAGCTTAATAATTTAAGTATTGGGGTGAACAAAGAGAAGTGCGGGGTTTAAATAGAAAATGTCTTGGCGAATTGTAGCTGTGGGGAGGGAAAAATTGGGGTGTGGCTAAGGTTGGGGTATTGGTGGGGTTGTTTGAACTTCTTCAATGCTAAAAATTTGATTGTTTTTTTGCATTAATATAAGAAGTTGATTGCTTTCTAAAACTTATTTGAAAAGTTTTTGCACGTGCATTTTTTATTCAAGAACACCCCATAACATTTTGGTGGGCATTGGTGTTGGGAGGAGAAAGGAGAGAGATGTTTTATTTTATTTTTTAAATTTATTTTTTAAATTTATATTTGTTTATTTTTCAAAGGAATTAATATTTTAATAACTTGTGGACCGAATTGCCCCTCGACAACTAACATAAGTTAAAAAATTCAATAGAAATTGAGGATTGTTCTTAAATTGCTTCAAATTGAAACTACATGGACAAAATTAACTAAATTGAAACAACAGTGATAAAAGTAGCAAACTAAAAAGACCAAAAATGACTTTTTATCGATTAATTTTAAAAGAATGATTGTTATTTGGTATTTGGTATTGTGAATTATGGTACAAACAAAGGAACTTCATCCGCATTAGCTTATAATTAAAGTTCGAGGTTCTCACCCTATGAATTTAAAAATGTGTTCCAAAAATAAAATAAAATAAAAAGGTTCATGTACATTGTCAAATTAGCAAAAGCGAAACTAGACGTTGTAATTCTCCAACTAATGGGGCCCAATACGCAAGCAGTGCTTTCAAATGACCGTTGTGTTGTTGATCCAATAAAATGAAGAAAAAAAAATTCCTAGAAAAGAGAAAGGTAGAGCCTGAGAGGGGGAGCGACATCTCCATCCAAGAAAATAAAGAAGGAAACTAAAACCCACGCTTTAAAGGCAAACAAAAAAACCCACTCTCACAAAAAAGCTTCCTTTTTTGTGCATATTTTTGGCCACAGACCAAACATGGAATTGACCCAAGAAGGCGCCTTGCGTGAATTTTGATTAACAATTCAAATTTCTAGCCATATATTGGATGAAAATCTTGGAGGGATTTCATACGATACGATAAAACAAGAGTGTCTGTGTCTGTGAGGAACACCAAGAAACGCTGAAACAGGGCTCAAGAGATACAGAGAGAGTGGAAGTGTAAGTGGCATTGTTTTCAAATTCGAGAAAATGGGTGAATCAGCCTGTCTAATGAGATCGTTCTCTAGCCCTTCTAAGTGTTCCAGTGAAGTCAAAGAGGTTAGCCCTTGCAAAATTTCACGTCTTTGATTCTTTGGTGTTTAAAGTTTTGCAATTGATGGGTTTTTCATATTTTGTCGTAATCTTTAATGGGTCTTTATCCAATTGCTCTGTTTTTCTCGCCTTGTGGTTTGTTTGGCTGCTCAGAAATCGTGGGAAAATGAGAATTTGGGGAAATGGGTATTGGATAAAGATGGCTATTGTTCTGTTTGTTGTCTAGGGACCAAAGTGCGCGTAGTGTTATAGTTTAGGCGGTTCGTGCGTTTCCATTGGATGCCTTCGGCTCATGATTTCGTTCGGGTTGTTCCAAATCTTGCGTTATTGCTTCTCCTCGATGAGAGAGAGAGAGAGAGAGAGAGTGACAGAGCCTTTTAGACCTATGAAAAAACCAGTAATTTTTAACCAGTTTCGTTTCCTCTATTAAAGTTCTCTAGCTTCCCTAATCCTGCATGGCATTCCTTTGGATTTAGGCAGTGAGCTTCTTCATGGTGGATTAAATGTTATGGGTATCTCTTTGTTAAAATTCTGCAATTGTTTTTTCTTCTATGGATGTACTTTGATGGTTTCGTTTCCTTTTCACAAGTTTCTAGAATTCACTGAGGAATTTGAGATGTGATTTTAATTGCAGGGGGACCCCCTTCGTTGCCTAGGAGAATCAATCTCCTTCGGCAGGTATATGTCAGAACCTCTTGCTTGGGAGAAATGGTCAGCGTTTTCCCACAATCGCTACTTAGAAGAAGTCGAAAAGTTTTCCAAACCCGGCTCTGTTGCTGAGAAGAAGGCTTATTTTGAAGCTCACTACAAGAGAAAAGCTGCTGAGAAAGCAGCAGCCTTGCTTGAGGTAACAAATGCAAGTGCCAGTAATGTCTCAGAGTCAGTAAATATGTACAAAAATTGTGACAGCTTCTCCAACATAGAGTCAGCGAATGGAGAGAGCCATATGGTTGTCGATAAACAACAGGAAAATTTTGTGCCAAATTCTGAGGTAGTAGTATGCCCAGCTGATATGAGTGGCCCTAATCCAAATGTTGAAGGGAATCAATTGGATGTTTCCATGGTGGACGGAGAAGAAGCAGTGGTTCAAGAAAGTGTTAGTTTGGCGAATCCTATTCAGGTTGAAATCTCAAACAAGTTTGAAAATGACAAAGACCAAGATGATATTGTTGCCACCCAAGAAGAGAAGATTCCAAATAAGGTAAACTGTTGAATGTTGTCCTGTTTTTACTCTTTACATTGTAATTGCTTGATCATGTTTCCTCACCACGCCAACTGTGATCTTCCAGGAAGCAGTTGGTGAGGAGAATCTAGCTTCAACGAACAAGAAAAGATTGATAAACTCTTCCCCAAGGTTATCCACTAAAGGTAGAGCATCCAAGGCCCCGATGTCTCCTGCCAAAACAAGCAACTCGTGTGCAAACCATAAATGGGAAAAATGTCACTCAAAAGGGTAAGAAATTTTCGTCAGACTTAGTTGACAAGAGGAGATTGACTGGAAAAATCTCTCCACATGTCAATCCATTTCAGTTCTCATGCTGGTGAAAGTGAAACCAGTAAAATAACTTCACCAGTTGTGGAGAAGACCAGAAATTCAAGAAGAATACTACTATGTTTAATATCTCCATGAATAAGCCAGCTTCTCGACAAAGTACAGGGTATGCGTTTTTAGTTTTTTTCTACCTTTTCTTTTTTTTTTTTTTTTTTTTTATAAAAAAATTCTTATCATCATATCATGGGTCTATCTGTCTGCACTCTGTACAAACATGGACACATCTAATAAGAGTTTTATTTGCCAACTTCAGGCATCTGTTAATGGGGTATTAAAGCAGTCTTCAGCAGACCTATGGTCCATAGTAGAAGGTATCTTGCTTTCTACTTCACATGTCCACGCAACATCTCAGTCCATTACATACTCCCTTTCCATTGTGCTATTTCTAAATGCATTGAGTACTCTAATTAAGCGATCAATTATATTGTTTGCAGGGAAAAAAACATTACTTAATAAGTCGGTGGGCTGGTGCAATTGCAGATGGGATATGGACATCCTCCTCAAAAGAGTAAGGACTTTGCTACTTATATGCCTATGAGTTTTTTTTATTTACTTATCTTGGCTCTGGGGTGCTTATCTAAATTGATTTTGCTCTTTCTAAGTTTCACTTTTTCCCCCCAAAACCAACATCTTTTGTTTTATTTGTTGTGGAATTAATTACTTAACAGGCTTAATTAATTACTTATATTCATATAATGTTCTAGATTGTATTCTGAATGGACCAAAGTAGTTAGTGTACTAGATGACAAAGGAACTGCCAGCATTCTTATAAACTTCGGATAATGGATTACTATGAATCTAAATAACTGATTATTTGGCAGCCAATCTTCTACTGCAAATGGAAGTAAACCACGACCCCCTATTGCATCATGTCCTTTTATCTTCAAGAGTCAAGAAAGAGCAGAAAAGCGTAAAGAGGCAAGAATCGATATTGTGTTTTAAGTTCCCTTTTTATCATGCCATGGTTCATTAAATATTTGTGGGCTTCTTTATTAAAAAAGCTGTCTTCTTTTGCTGTGTCAGTTCTTTCAGAGGCTGGAAGAGAAGAAAAATGCCAAGGAGGCTGAAAATAAGCAGCTGCAACTGAGATCCAAAAAAAAGGTTAGTTTCTTATAATAAAATATTTTGACATAATAACTTTTCATTTACTATTTGCATGATGATTTATGCAACTTCGTAATGCCTCTTTTGGGTCTCGGTTAATTTATAAATTTGTATAATTTATAAGGGTGAAAAATACAAAACAGAGTTCAGGAAGGGTGATAAATACAATTAGTGTTCACGAATCAAATGATTGTGTTGATTGAAGGATTATTTAGAGGATAGTACACTGGTGATGGGGCAATATGCTACGTGGAATGACCTGATTATTAACTTCTGAGCAGAAACTAGTGCAAGTTGAATGCTGTTCTCTTTTTATTTTTATTTCCTTTGTCAAGCCATTAAAAAGTCTACTTAAATATATATATATATATATATATATATATATCTGATGCAGGAAAAAGCTGTAGGGGATGTTAATAAACTGCGTCAGTGCACTGGCTTAAAAGCCAAACTAAATCAAGATCTGTCTTCAGGATCACAATTTCCAAGTAACCACTTGAACAAGGTATACACATGTGACGTTTTCTTCCAAAGTTTGTTTATGTAAGGTGCTTTCAACTGTACTTGGAAAGTTTCTACTGAAATTTTAGAGTGTGGGCAATGTAGACTACTACTACTCCTCTCTGCTTAGTTAGTCTATTTTATCCCCTAATGTCTTTTGATGAATAGAGGACATTTATTTTGCAGATACCTCTGGCACAGCCTCGGTCACCAAAAACTTGGAAGGCAGTCTACTCTCAGCAAGGCCCTGGACCCAAGCTCTAGGCCTTCAGTCAATTCTCACAGCTCCAACTATGCCACAAAAAAATATAAAGTGAGCACAAATAGATCAGTGCCTTCTATTTTGAAGAAGAATGCTCATGAGAATTCTCCTCCCAATATCCAGAATTGAGGGTGTCTAGCTTAGGAAAGTGCATGGAGATTGATTGACTCCGACGGTTACCACTCCTAACCAAGAAGAAAGGAAAAGGAAAATTAAAAAAATTACCGCCCACAAGGGCCAGAACTACTATTTGTAAGCAGGGGGTGTATTTGTGAGGTCTGTCAATTAGAAATTTTGTAGGGCTCATCTTTCATTTTTATGTTTGCTTCTTTGTTCTTTGTTCTTTTGGCGATTGTAAATAGCTTTTAACCATACTGGTCATGATTAATATATAAAGTTAGGATGATTGCATATTTTGGTTGTTCCACATGGACAGGACAGCTTCTTCTTCATACCTTTTTTTTTAAAAAAAATTAAAATTCTTTCTCCATGTTTTTCCCATTTCTCTTTTTTTTTCTTTTTTCCATTTGATAGTTTTCAGATTATCAATTTTCCTACAAAACAGAAATAAAAAGTCTCAGCACCCTGAGTTTGTTTCTTAACTTGGGATCATACAAAAGGATTGTACACATGATATTCTGAGCCAAGACTTGTCTCACAAGCATTTTTATCCCTAGAAGCCCTTATTGGGCTGAACCAAATTCCACAAGAAGTTTATCACCAGCTAAAAAACGATGTCCTTTAAAGTACTTGATTGTTTTGACAAAGTACAAAGACATTATGTTTGGCTCAGTTTTTAATTACAATTATTTCTGGTTTCATAACTTGTGAGGATCATGAGTTTTGTGCTCTTTTACTCCATCAAAACATTCTGGCAGGCATTTTGCTCTACATGCATATAGTTACAAGAAATCTAATGCACATCACATCCAGATAAAGAAGAAAACTTATTTTGCTAGTGTTTGCCATCACTCCTATTATACACATTCCGACGTTCAAATCCAAACTGGTCAGAGAGATAGTATCCAGATTCATTAAGTTGGGACACTCAAAACTATATTAGCTTACCAAACACAAATAGCGGAGGATCATTCATCGTTGAAGATGTGCAAACGCAAAAGAGCAAGGCTGGAGCTGGAGCATGTCATGCAATGAACAGACCTTGATCTAGGACAGAATATTCTGATGGGTCACATGGATATTCAAATCTCAGTGCATCATACAGGTGAGCAGGAACTTCAGTAACATGAGTAGGATCAGTATACTCCGAGAACTCTACATTTTGAAGTTCAAGATTCATACCATAACAATCACCTTGATACCAGCAAATCTGAAACTCATCGTCCAAAGAAGCAAAAGGTGATGTACTTCCCAAGATTAGGTTTCTATGGGCAGATTCCAAATCAGTACTCAGGTTGATGCCCTGATTTTTCATGTTTGATGTACTAGTGGAAACGGTCTCAGAAACTTGATGGTCTACCACACAGCTCTTGGTTTGACCAGGAAAAGAGTCTGTTGCACTTATTGTTGGACTTATTGTTGGACTTATTGTTGGACTTACACGGCTACCATGATGGTTTGTGTACTCCGAATACAAAGGCTTACTCTTACTGGAGCCAGTTACATCTCCCCCAGGGATTGAAGGTCTTGAGCTAATGGAAGGAATTGATTGTAGTTGATCAGCTTGGAAATGGTGCTGTGGACCAGGCAGCGGAGGCTTGCTGAAGCCATTGTTTAACTGAATAAGTGGCTTGTGCTCTTTTTCCAATTGAATTTGATTCCAAGAATACGTTGCTGGGATGGTGGAATCAAATGCTGTCAAGTTTACTTCAGATTCCACGGATGCAAAAGAATGATTGACGTGCATCTGTGAACTCCTGATCTTCTGAGAATCGGGAACGTTTCCAACCAAACCTTTTTTGGTTTCTGCATAAGAACTATTGAAGTCCATTTGTGAACTCCTCGTCTTCTGAGAATCAGGAATATTGCCAGTCGTTCCTTTCTTAGGTTCTGCTACAGGCTCTGAAACAATCCCCTTTATATCTCCTTCATTGCTCTTTGGATCCGCATTCTGAGCAACTAAATTATTGCCAGAAAATCTGTAGCTTCCATGTGCAACATCATTTTGTTGGATGTTGATCGAGTTCTGAACGCTAAGAATTCCTTGAAGATCTTTTGAGGAATAATCAGAATGCTTTGTCCCACCAAAAGAAGATTTAATATCATTTTCTTTTTGCAGCCTACTCAAGTAGAGCCGGTACTTCTGCACATGAAAATTCTCAGTGAGAATATGCAAGCATATTATCTATTAAATTAATTAACCGTTAGTTTACATGCAAGACTGAATGTTCCATTATTTGGGTGATGGGAAAGTAGCTACATATAATTCATTCTATAAAATAACAGAAAATAAAATAAAGAAAGAAATCATAGTCCAAATGGATAAGATTAACGATCATTGTCCTTCCTCAAATATTTGGGGCAACTAGCTGTTCAAACCTTCAGGTGACATATCAGCATGAGTAATATCAGGAAAGAGAACCATAAACAGAAGACTGCTATTAAAAGAGCGAGAATTTCTATTGATGAATGCTAGGGAATATTACACTAACTTCTTCATATGCTGTCAAAAAATGTGACAAACCCGAGTGAGACCAAACAAATGGGATATATTATTGCACAAGGAAATTATCCATTGCAGGGTATTCTGGGTACCAAAGTACCATAATGAAAGTGCTGCAGTGCACAAATCCTACTAGATAGGAATTTCAGATCTTATCAGGAGAAAGAATTAAGAAGTGAGATCTCTACCTGCAAGTGGCTAGCAACATTTTCTCTTGTCAACCAAGGCACGTTCATCAGGTCAAGTATCTTCTTCGGACCAACTTCTGCCAAACAGACATTACACATCATCGCTCTGTAGAAACATAATAAAGTTGGTGGCTATATCATTGAAAAACAACACAAATGTGAAACAGACTTTTGAGAAACATAAAATTTATTAAGATTTATAGTTAATGATGCTGATCCAAAAACCAAGCTTTATAAGAAACGAAGTTACTTACTGTCAAATCCAATCTGATGTACTGCTTTTACAAATTTCTGATGAAGGTCTACAGACCAAACAACTCTAGCTTTTTTGGTGGATGAACAATCAGAAAAGTCTTTGTCATCATATTTGTTATCAACATCCTTTCTTTTTCTCGATGAAGTGAGGTCTTCTGCACTAAAAAAGTATCCCTCATCATACTGATCTGATCCATTTCTTATCAGCTGAATACCTTCGATGCTGTCGTGACTCTCAATGTCTCTGATCTCATGTATCTTCTTTCTGAATACATGCTGCCATATATTACGCAGTTCTTTCATTCTTATTGGCTTAAGAAGATAATCACATGCTCCGTGCTGAACACCTTTCATTACCCTACTCGTTTCTCCATCAACAGACATCACTACACAGGTACAAAAAATATGATTTGTCAGGAACTAAATGGTAAAGGAAAATTTTCAATTGAAGACGAAGCTTGTGTCAGATGGCAGAGTACTGACTGATAACAGGAAGATCCATCTCAAGTCCAACATGCTCGAGAAGTTTAAAACCATCCATGTCAGGCATGTTCACATCACTGACAACAATGTCATATCCATCTTTCTTTTCACGAAGCAAGTTTAAAGCATCTCTTGCCAAACCACATGTAGTCACTGAAACACATAGAAGGGGAAAGAAAAAACTAGTCAGAATTGATGAAAATTTGATGATATCATCATAGACTGGGTTGGAAAGTTGAATATATAGTCAGACTGGCCAAAGTCATCCTGTATACTAATCAGACAAAAATAAAATCCTGTAAGACTGACAGAAATCTTTTTTAAATGAGTAGGACTAAGAACTTGAAAAGTAAAATCAGTTGTCCAACATTCTAAATGGAAGCCTTCTCTATCTTGCTCAGATCGTTTAAAAGAAACCATACATGAGACTATCCCAAACATAATCAAAGGAACTATTGTAAAGCTATGTGTTTTGAGTAGTGACTGTAAGAGTACTTCAGTTTCCTGTGAAATAATTTGAAAATTTGATTGAACAAAGATGATAGAGCATACAAAAATGTAAGAATATTAAAACGCCGTCTTTAAATCAACATGACAAGACCAGGAATATAATATCATAGACATAGGTAATGATGAAAGTCATAATAGACAAAGGGTAAATGTTGCTAGAAAAAAGCCTTTCATGGACATAGTTGAAACAAGGATATAAAGGAAAATGTGCTAAAGGAGGCTTGAAATCAGAAATCCAAGAATGAATGCAGGATTTGGGGAGTAATTAATTGTGGCCATTTGTCCATACAACTCATCTGGATAACAATTATACAAGTACACTACCAGAGGTACCAAAGAATGCGGAACACTCCAGTTATCCGAAATAGACCAACTTTAAGCATTTATATTGGATAGAGAAATCAATGTTCAAAACTCGATTAAACTAGCTAATAAAGGAAACACTTTGTGCCTAATTGCACTGCTATCACATTATCATTATCCTCCTGCAAAGCAGCCTGTAGAAGGGCCAAAGCAGCAGGTTGATGAAGGCAAAGACAATCAAATACTCTTCTCAACTAAACCCTGATCATTTCTGATAATCAATTTAATTAAAAGGAAACTGCCAACTAAGTTTTTGCTTCTAGAAAAAGATAATAATAATCATCGGTTTCAAGAAACCCATATGGAGTAATTCACAGAAGCATCATCAGCCAGCCTTAGACAATTAGACCAACTTCTAAGTTCTACCCCATTTTCTCTGTTATGCAAGGAATATTGCCTTAATACATACACATAAAGCATGAATCTTGAATTCCATATACTGGAGTTAAGTCCCTAGATGAACATTTAACTAAGCTCCCATTACCCTTGTTGTCCAAATTAACCCATAACTCAAAAAACCCATCTCTGAAAATCACCAAATACAATCAGAGAAACCAACCAAACATAAGAAATAATTCAGAAAACAGAGAGAGAGAGAGACTAAAGCTTTAAATTATGATTGAAACAGAGGAACAGTGACAAAGTGAGATAGCGTAAAATAACCTTCATAGGAGCACTTCTTGAGCATCTTCTCTAAGATCTTAAGCCAAGTTGGATCATCATCGACGACGAGAACTCGGAGGCCAGCCGGAAACGAATCGTTTCGAGGAGAAGAGAAGCTACTATCCATTAGGAAAAAGTTAAAGATGGAAGAGTTAAGATGGAAGTGGAAGGGGGTAGAGTGGGACTTACAGCTCAAATGAGACTATATAGCTTAGGAGTGTCTCCAAATTTAAAAAAATGGCTTTCTTTGGATTTTATGGGAAGCTTTTTAGAGAGAGAGAGAGAGAGAGAGAACCAACGAATATTTGGCGCCGGATATCTAACGGTCCCCGTGGTTCACGTTAGGCTTTAATCGCATTTACATTTTGCTAAACCAAAAGAAAAAAAAAGGAAATTGTATGGGGGTATGATTAAAAGAAGAAAAAGCCACAAAATTTTACCTTTGGTGTTGAAAAGAATATGGGAAAGTGAAACAAATGGCAACTTTGAGAAATTGGGTGTAGAATCTTAAAGAGGTAGAATCTAAAGGTGGGGGTGGGGTTTGGGGGTGTGATTTGTGAAAGAATGTTTGAATGAATAAGGCATCTTATAAATGATATATAGGTAGCTTAATTCAGCAATTTCAATTAGACACAAAGTTTGATTCAACCATATTACTATTTCCCAAGTTTTTCTTTTCTGAAGTGATATTCTAAATAAGTTGAAGATCAAACTTGGGTGTAAAAGGAAGGATGATGAACTATACTAACCAGAAAGACAAAATAACACTTCAATGTTGCAGCCCCTGCTTTGTTGGGTTAAAGATGTATTGTTTATTCTTGCAGACCTTGAGAGGAAGATGAAACAATTTGAAGTTCATGTTGGATAAACAATAAAGAAGGGTTTGAGGGCACGTGGAATGCATTTGAGAGACAAAGCTGAAGAAAAAAAATGTCGTTTGAAGCAGATTTGCAGTGGTTGGACAAAGCCAAGAGTATCTGAACTTGAAGACCAGCTGAAATCCAATTGGTACCAAACTCATTAATTTGACCTTTTATTATCTTCAACCAATGCTTTGTAAGGCATGCATGATCTCAGGACCAGTATCATAACACATTATCCAAATCCTTCAATGAAAGTGGAAGCATGAAGAACCCTTTTCATTTACTTGTTTAATAATGCCATTGCCCGGCAAGAAAAAAAAATCATATAGTTTAAAGCATCTTTATGTACTTACGGTAAAGTTGCACTTAATATTTTAGGCAAATGCTTGGCACATTGTGAGAAGCAAAACACAACAGAGAATTTTAAGAACACTATCCAATGGCAGAAGGACAAAACATCCTGTTGGTTTACATTGACATTATTAATCAGCTGTTCAGCAAAAAAGGAAAAAAAAAACATCAGCAATCAAATGACACAGTGTGTTCTGTCTCCATGTAATTAGTGCGTGCATATCAGTCTTTGATTTTTGTCATCTTTTAAACATGAAATCGAAGTGGAATTAGAGAGATTCCAAAACAACATTAAGTTTTACATTAGAAAGGAACTGAGGTGCTTGATGCTAATCTGGAAGGAACATTAACTTTTTAACAAAGAATTAGTCCTTAAACTACTTTCTAATTACTCCAATAGAAAGCAGGGCCTCTAGAAAGATGACATGCACTCAGTGACATAAGGGTTCGTGCGTAAAAAAAAAATTTATAATAATAATAATAATTTTTACAAAGTTGGCAGATTTCTTGAAATATTTATGAGTTGAGAATAAGCCATTGGAAGGATGAGTGAGATCGGCTGGCTAATCAATCATCATCGTTAATTGAGGCCACGATACCCCTAAGCAGAAAAAGATTGGAGCTAGGAAGGATAGTGGCATCTTTTTTGAAACTCCATTTAAATTAAAAGAATTATTTTATTTGCTGCCAATGATCACTTAATTAAGCTTCTTGACCAGCAAACTCAGCAAGAGCAAGTTTGCTTGGAGCACTTTGTGCTGCACAAGATGCTAAGAGTTTTCCATGTGGTGTGAGTGAGCCTCGTTAGTGACAAATAAACTTACTTGTAATGAGAATAGCACTATTTTGTTATCCTCGGTTAATAACACAATGACATGTGAAAAAGTTTTCCTATATGTCATTACATTATTGGCTGTAAATAGCAAAAAGTGTTATTCACGTTGCATGAGAGTTTCTCTCTATTAGTGGCTGAGCCATTAACCCTCAATAACTTTTTTAATCCTTCAACTCTCAGGAAAAACTTTGGGGGGGGTTTAAAGGCTTAAAGACATACTTTAGGAGAGTGGGGTAGAAAAGGAGTTGAGAAATAAAAACTCAATGGCTCTAAAAGGAAATGCCCACTTAGAAATTCTTTATCTCCAAAGACAATAATTTACTTAAAAGGAGGGTGGGCATGATTGGTGACTAACAAATTAGCAGGATGAACTCCATGCAACTTCTCATAAGTGGAGTGCCTTTTTATTTGTTTATTTAAAAGTTAGAATATGGCTCTGCCCTTATGCTCTCCTATGATGCTTCCCCTGTTCTTACCTGTTTATTCTTTTTTTTTCCCCTTAACTTTTTTCATTATTATTTTATAGTTTTGTTTTACACCATCTCTTTTTTAACTGTTACAATGATGGACCAAGTTGGCAACTTGGCAATTCCCCTGTTCGTTTCTAAGATGTTTTAGGACATCTTGTATTTAACAGGTAAATACACAATTATACTACTGATTTTTCTGCTTAATCTTTTTTGTCTTTTTTGATAATTTTGTGGGGCAAAATATTGTGATATTATTGCACGTCAATAAGTAAGCAGGTTGCTTAACGATGCAGTCAAGATAATTTAAGCCCACCAGTGAAGTTAGGCAGCAGGATTTAACATGAAAGCATACTAGTTTGCTTCCTGTGGAGGGGAGGATATGTGTTTGTTCATCATCACAAGGTAGGCACAAAGCTAACCCACCTCTTTGAGCATTTGGCTATCCTCAGGGTTTATGGGACCTGCCTTTCCTACATTTACCAATCCTCGGCATTTGTGATTTCAGGGGCTGGATTGGAGCACAATCAAGCTCAGGATTGTTGTCAGACTACAGTTTCCTAAGGCCACAGTTTCATACCAATGTGAAAACTATTATCCTCTCTCTTCCAAATGTTGGAAGATTTCCCATGTTCAAATCTCCCCTCCCCCACCGATGAAAAGAAAGACAAGAATTAAGGATATGATAGCTCTTTTACTATAAACAGATTCCTGACAGTAAAAAGTGTTGAAGATTGTAAGTTTTCTCATTAAGTTCTAACATACCATGGACTAATGGCCAGAAACCATTAATACTAGGAAATTACTTGCCTTCCATTCCAACACTCAGGTTCCAAATAGCTGAGTTGAATGCCAGGGCCAGGCATACCAGTTATACATATCAATCTTAGTATTTTCAGTGCTGTTGCCAGAGACTTGAAGGTGCCTTTGTCATTGGAGGCGGGCAGGCTACTCTTTGATGTAACTCAAGAATCTCCAAAGCCTACCTTCTCATCGCCCGAAAACAGGCATTCGGTATTTTGGTTGACTATATACAGCTACCATGAAACACTTGCTCAACCTGCCATGGTAGCTTACATTGAACTTCCCTATATTAGACTATATACAGTAGGGCATTCAGCATTTTGTGTAGCTTGCAACTTCATTCTTCCTCTGTAGGTCAGAGCATGTAATCATATACCACAACATGTGTTGCAGGCACAACTACAGGTAGATTTTCAATATAAAGATAGAAACGTCTTAGGTTCTCCTTGGCAAGGGTAACTGTATCAATCACATCACTGTTGCTAGTGAGAACCCACAAATCTCTAGAGCTGACTCTCTTTAGGCTGTCACGGCAAAAAGGGCAGGATTGCGATCGTGCATTCCTGCAATTCAATTCAAGTACATCACAGAACCAATATTTTCACAGGTTATCCCCAGTGTGTAAAATGCTTTCCAATTTTCTTAAACAAGAACAAGTGAAAAGGGCAATTGATGGTACCAATTATGGAAGCAGGTGATGCACATGGAATGCCCACAGTTGGGCAACACCATCTTTGTACAGTTTTCCATGCATATTCCACATTCATCATCTCTATCTTGATCTTTATCCGACAGCTTCCTCCAGCCTTCCATCTTCTTTCGGCTCAAAACATCTGTGCATCGGCTTTTCTTATTATTGTAATTATGATTATTATTATCTTCCAGTTCGTTAAACTCGCCTTCAAGTTGTCTAAGATAAGGGTATATCACAGCTGCAATGATTTCCAGCAGAATGCACTCGGATGTCAAAACAAATTTTTTATTTTTTATTTTCCAAGAAGGGCTATGTATTTAATAAGAAGCTAACTAGAGAATAGCATACCATAAAATTCCCTTAAAGTGACCTTCTGTTCTTTGGAGGACATTGAAGGCATTCCATCCATATAAACCTGCACAATTATGTAAAGCTTAATTTGGAATCTTAGGCAACAAATGGAAACAAAAAATAAGTAAAAAAGAAAAAAAGAAAGAACAGCAGCCCACCGTGTATACAAGTATGTGGAGAAGGCCTAATAATTGGGGAGTATATCAGTGCAACTATAATCCATCCATTCAATGAAGTAAAGGAAAATGGGGGCAAAGGGGCTATAAGATAATCTCATGTGGATGCAGTTCCCACCATAATCTTTGGGAAGAGCAGCTGCCCTGCAAAAACCCATCTCAAAAACCAATGAAAAAAGGATCATGTTTTTTTTGGCCAACAAAGATCAAAATGTATTTGAACCTGAGGAATTAACCCTATATAACAACAAAAGTTCACACGACAATTATCAGGGAGAAACAAGAGCAGCCTATGACACGAAAGTGGGGATTTTCTTTTTCCAGAGAAGCAAGTAAATTGGCAATTTGGCACAAACAACCAACTTTACCTTCCCTCTTAAATGAGAAATACCATCCAACAACCACAATTGAGTTAAATTAACACCGCAACAAACTACCCAGAAGAGGAAAACAAACAACTAACGCAAATGCATATGAATTCCACAGTTTTTGACTGATCAACAATAAAGAACCAAACTTGATCATAAATATACAACCAAAAATAAATTTTTTGAAGAAAAAAATGACTCACAAGCTATTGGCATGTTGTATGTCAGCTTCAAGAGCTTTGATAGATTCTCCATAAGAAGATTTGCTGGCCTGTGCTTGCCACATATGTTCTACCTTTTGAGTTAGGGAGGAGAAAAGAGAACGAATAGAAAGACAAAAGCAGAAATAGGGTGAGGGATAAGATGAAAAGAGTGACCTTTTTGGGTGGGAGTTGGTTTGGTTTTGTTTTTGTTGATGAATGTTTGGGGTGGGAGACATTAGATGGTGGGTTTAAAAAAGAAGAGAGAGAGAGAGAGAGAGAGAGAGAGAGCCAAGCCTTGCTTAGTGTTCAAACCTTTCACACTCGAAGGAAAGAAAGGGATGCCTTCTCTTTCTCATGTTGCCTTCATTATTTTATCAACTGCAGTTTGGGCTCCCTACCCTCCCTTCCCTCCAAGACCAACTCTTAAAAATTGATACTTTTGATAATAATTGATACTTTGGAAGGAAATTATTAAAAATAAATTTGTTGGGTCCTACCAGTTCTAAATTCTGCGGTTTAGTTCGATTAAAAAAACAAAATAAAAGAATAAAAAAGAAATATATTAGTAAAAGTATTTGGGCCGTTAGTAGCCCAAATGACCCAAAACCCATTGTTTGTTTTGTTTTGCACATTTGAGCCGTTCCACATCCCCACTTTCCAACAAATATGGCTTCCCATATGGGCTGCTAGAGCATCCGTTCATTCTGGCTGTTGATGTTTCTAAGGTTATTTCTGCTATGCACACAACACAACCATAATAAATTGAAAGATATTTTGGTTAGTATCAATGCATCCGTGTGTGCACGACTGATCTTAACATTGCTGTGATGGAATTTGCTTTTGCTGGAAGAGAAACTTCGACATGACCGATTGATTGCTATATGTCTAGCGTGTGGAGCCAGGGGACTTCAGGGAACCAACTTCACTATTAATGAAATGAGCAACCACTAGCGAACAAGGTTTGATGTAGTGGACCCTCAGAATGGACTTCAGCCCATCATTTACTTTGAGCTTGGTTGTTTGTTTCTACTCTCTGTCCATCCTTCACAATCAAGATCTGAACCCAATAGAGAGAAATGGAGCATCTTCTGCTTTGATGGGCCCTGTGAATCTGCAACAGCCGAAGTACACAATAAATATTTGATTCACACATTCAATCTATCTTTTTTAGTATACAAATTTATAAATAAACCCAATCCTAGACATGTATTTATAAAAAAACCCAAGCACTATTTAAACATAGAAACACACCCAAAATCAACCCTAAAGTCAACTTTTTGGGTTTGTTTATAAATGAGTTTTGAGTGTGTGTAATGATGGGTTTTGGGTGTGTTTATATGTTTAAATAGTGCTTGAGTTTTTTTATAATTTCAACCCCCATTTTGGGTGTTTTAGTGAAACTCCCTTTTTAATACAACCATAGTCCAAACTACAAAATAGAAAATTTCTCGCGCACACACACAACACAACTACGACGCAATGGAGGTTCGAACCTGAGACATATAATCATATTTGCCCATACCCATCTACTACTTGAAATGGATGAATTTATTTTGGGGGTTTTTTTTTAATAAAACAATTGGCTAAGGTTGTTTTGGGTTATTATTGGTGATGATAGAGATGGAGGGGACCAGCGGCGACTGTGTCCAAGACCAAGATGAAAAAAGGGGTGCGTGAACGCATCATCATCTTCATACTTTTTCAAAGTAAAAGCTTAAAGACAAGTTGGTCCAAAGGGGAAACGAGAAAAGAGATTTCGTTGTGACCAAAAGCAAAAGCCGATTTTAAAGCAAAGAGTGTCAACTTCAAATTTCATAGTCCTTGTAATGTTGCCCTTTTCTTTCATTAAAGATTAAAGATGCTTTTAGCACCGTCATGGTTTTCAGTCATCTTCATCATTCTTCCCTCCCGTGACACTTTTATTATTTTCATCCAAATTATAGTTTCTAATATCATTTTTTTAATATTTAATTATATGGGAGATTCATTATCATACTCAATATAAGGGTCCAAATTATAAAAATACCCTATATGAAATTGACTCTTTTTTTTAGGATATTTCCTATTGAAATGGGCGATAACATATTAAACTCACACACACAACACGGATGCTAGGACTCGAACACAGGATCTTGCCTGAGGGAGTAAATACTCTAAACTACTACACTAGTGGGTCCTTTGTCATATGAAATCGACTTTAAAAACACACCCAAAACTCATTTACAACATAATAAAGAGGCTTTTAACTTCTTATAAATTACAAAATTGCCATCAATTTCTTAAAACAAATCAAATCTCAACACCTCATTAAAAAAAAACTCAAAATATTCAATAGGGTATCAAAGTAATTTATAATTAAAATTAAATTCAATATAGCCAGCTGTCATTTTTTGGGTTTTTTTTGGGTTTGTTTATAGAAATTAAATGATGTAGAGTTTATCTATATTATTAATGCTAAAAATGACTATATGACTAACTATCTCTAACTTTTTTCACTTTCCTATTTTACCTTTTTGAATAAGAAGAAGAAGAAGAAGAAGAAGAAGAAGAAGAAGGGAATAAGTAATCTATCTAGTCATTTTGTTTGTTTTTTCTTCTTCAATTTAGACCCGTGTATTTTCTCACTTCTTTGTTTTGTTTGAGGTAATATGTATTTTCTCTTCAATCAATGGACATGAGCCTTTGGTGGTTTGTGAACCTACATAATTAGACTATATATATTCACACCAAAGTTACATTTTTACTGTTTAATTATGCTTATTATACAATAATACAAGAAAGTTACACAATGTCGTTGAATTAATTAATTAATTGCTTGTACCAAGGTAGATTTTGAGATTTTGAGGCCCTATGCGAAACTTAAACGGGAGCCCTCAATTTAATATGAAAAAATTTGTAAAAAAATTTGTCATGACTTAACACCATAAAACAAATTTTTTAATAATTAAAATTCATCATCTATTAGCATGCAATAGCAATCATAAATAACATTCATAAAAGTTTTAATGTTTCAATTTGAGAAAATGAAAGAGGAAGAAGGCATGAACTTTTTTTGTTTCATTTTGAGTGGGTGAAAACATACACTCCAAATTTTTTTGTTTGATTGGAGAAAGCTTGTATATATTGCTTTCCCCTTCTTTGAATGACAACTACTAAAATGTAAAAATACAACTACTAAATGACACAATATAGACTCAAGTCCAACTTGCCTACTAAAAAAGGGATGAGTTCCAACTCGACCAAATACACACTTGTGTTACGTTCCTACACACTCAAATATATGTATAATACCTATAATATTAATATACTTAATATACACATAAAAAATTTGAACATCCTTAAAAATTTGGGGCCCTATACAGTGGCACCACTTGCACACCCGCAGACCACCTCAGATTGTACTGATAACAATAACTCACCTCCAAATCTTCAAGAACCCCTAATTAAGGAGTCTCTTCAATTAGGTGCCAAAATATCACAAATAGTTTTTTTTTGGTTGAGATGAGATAAACTCTGCCGCCTCTGTCATATCTTTTGCTCAAATCTCAAATTATGGGCCATCTTGATTTTTTGGTGTTTGAATTATAAAAAACAGAAAAAAAAGAAGAAAAATCCAAAAAACGATGCTAAAAGTTGTTTTTACTTACACAATGAATTCTGTATGGAGTGGAAATAATTTACATGAGACTGGGATATACAATCACTCTTTACACTCTTATAAACTTATCGTATAATTAGAGATAGAACAAAATAAGAAGAGAATATCTACACGTCATAGTCAAGTTTTGTGTCACACTTTTTTTCAAAGTAAAAGGAAACGCGAACTTAAAAATGAACCAGAAATCATTATTTTGATTGGGAAAAAGAAGATTCCAAAATGACAAAAGGAAACGAACGTGAATGAACATTCCACAAACTCATCAATCAAAAAAGTGAAAGGTAAGTGGTGTACTACCACAGATTGGACCATGTGGAGCTTAACAAACAGTTTCAACCTCTTCCATCAATAAACCTCAAATTCTGAACACTGGTAGACTTCAAAAGAATTCTTTTGTCTTTCTCATGCCATGTGCAATGAGTTCATCCTTCAACTGCCTGGTCATTTTTCTTTACTTTGCATCATCTGTTGTGTGCCAAGTTAAAGGTACGTGATTCTCTGGTTTTTTTTTATTTATAGAATTTTGAAGAGCTTTTTAGTTGAATATGCAAGTTGCAATTAAATTTAGTTCTGCTTCAATTGAATGTGCAGAGTTTGTAAGTATAGATTGTGGAGGGACAAGAAATTACACTGACCCAAGTACTGGGCTAGCATGGATTTCAGACTTGGGGCTCATGAGCCAGGGAACATCAGTACAAGTAGAAAACCCAAATGGAAACTTGATGCAGTATCAGAGTCGCAGAGATTTTCCCATAGACAGCAAGAAGTATTGCTACACTTTGAGCACAGAAGAGAGGAGGAGGTATCTAATCAGAGCAACATTTCAATATGGCAGCCTGAAAAGTGAAGACACTTACCCCAAGTTTGAGCTTTACTTGGATGCTACTCAGTGGTCTACTGTGACCATATTTAATGCTTCAAGAACATATGTGAATGAAATGATCATCAGGGCATCGTCCGGTTCGGTTGATGTGTGCATATGCTGTGCAACAACTGGGTTTCCATTTATATCCACTCTGGAGCTGAGGCCTTTGAATCTTTCCATGTATGCTACAGATTTTGAGGATCATTTCTTCTTGACAGTGGCAGCTAGAGTGAATTTTGGTGCTCCAAGCATAGATGTCATAAGGTAACACCATAGCTGAGCAATTATTCAGTTTTTGAGTAAGTTTGTTTGAATGCTTGTTATAAATCTAGTCATTCGATACCTTTCAGTGAAAATATATTGTTTTGCTCAGGTACCCAGATGATCCATATGACAGAATTTGGGATTCTGATCTTGTGAAAAGGCAAAATTATCTGGTAGGGGTGGCCTCAGGAACACAAAGAATCAATACATCAAGGGATGTAAACACAAATAGTAGAGAATGTCCACCTGTTAAAGTAATGCAGACTGCAGTTGTTGGCACAAAAGGACTGTTGACC